TCCCAGGATGAGAGAAGCATGCTGAAAGTAGACTATAGACCGAACATGATCGCCACTCAATGGCTCTTTTGCAAACCACAGCACCCAAAAGGAGAGAGAGAGAGAACAAAAGGGAATGCCCTGCCACAGAGGCAGGGTGGGATGGGACGTATGGGGGGTGGGAGGGATACTGGGGTCAGTGGTGGTGGAAAATGGGCACTGGTGGAGGGATGGGTACTCAATCATTGTATAATTGAAACCCAATTGTAAGTCTACAACTGTACCTCATGGTGTCTCACTAATAAAAATTTTTTTAAAAAGATGCTGTGTGAGCATAGGCACTGACATTCATCCCAATGACAAGGCCCTCGCTTCCAGAATATTTCACAATCAGTATTTTACACTAATAAATAAAGCCAAGCTCCTCCCCAGGCTGCGTGCAGAGAAACACACACCAGAATGTACAGTCAGCCTTCTTCTGCCGTTGGGTTTCTTAACAAACCAAATCTGACTGCCGGCTTCTTCATGGAACGACGAGTCTTTTGTGTTTTATTCCTCACCGTCGAGAGAGATGCTGTCCCCTGCCATGGAGATGGTGTCTGAGATGAGAACCGTATTTCAGCACACATAATTAAACCATCAACCAGCAGGGCCCGGCACCGCTCAGAGCAGAGTTAGTGGTGCTCCGTCTCAGATGGATAGGGAAGGATTTTGCATTCTGCTGGGGGGGAAAAGAAGGACCTCTAAATATTTCATGGGTTTTTCTTGATCGCATTGTTTATTTCCCAACTTTCTAAAGAGATACTTAATTTTTCGCGACAGCTATTTCTGTCAACATGTGAAAGAAATAGATATTAAGGGCAAAATTTGCATGGGATGCCAAGAACTGGTATTTTCCTGGAATGATGCTTACTGTGCGCATAAAAATAAATCTCACACTCTTCTCCAGAAAACGTCCTTGGCATTTGATATGTTCTCAAAAGCGATATTCTGGTAATGTTCTGCGTCTGAGGTTCCGAGGAGGGGGGCGGGAATTCATGTTTTGATGGGGGAGTGGGGGGGTACCATGCACAGTCGTACTGTCTGCAGAAACCAAGACAGAACACTAGAGGGTGCTGTTTGATTTTCTTTGTCCTGGTCCTGCTGCAGCTTCCCGGGGTCTCAAGGTGCCAAAATGCCCCTTCAGTCTCCCAACAAAACCTGGGGGGATATCCAGGCAGAAAGCACCCCTCGATGTCCAGGGAAGGTTCCGAGTAGGGGAGACACTGAATTCATTCAGAATTAGGGAGGATTCTTTATTTCCCTAAACCTGCATGATTATCTTGGGATAATTACTTAAATCCTGTGGCTGGGGGGAACAGGGTGAGATTCCTTGCTTTCACTAACGGTCAGACAGAGCGACGAGAACTCGAGAGTGGGGGATAGAGTCTCGAGCACAACCCGAGCACCAGTCAGACTCAGAGTTCGGAAACGCCAGGCCTTCAGAGCTTGTTTCTTTTGATAGCAGACAAATGCCATCTTGTGAAGATTCCCAGCTACCTTCCTTTCTAGCCAAGGCTAAGCCTGTCCTCTGGGCTTCTGTCCTTGGGGTAAGTGATGTGAATGGCAGGGAAGGCGCCTCTCTGGGGTTTCCTGAAGAGAAACTGCCAGGCCGTGAGTGGGCCGCTTGCTCACGGAACAGTATGTGGACAAGAGGGAGGAGGACTGACTTGGAAGGGGCCCATCCACGCCGTGCCGAGGAGGGCTGACACACTCTCCAACGTCAGTTCCAGGCAATCTTGGTGATGAGGCATGTATTTCTGTTTCGATTTTCTCTCTGAGGGGTAGACCATCGGTGCAGACCCTGCTCCCGTCGCCAGCGTTCCAGTGCCCACCACGGGCCCCTCTGCCAACCCCCTTCTTTTTTTTTTCTTTCTTTTTGGGTCATACCCGGTGATGCTCGGGGGTTTGTCCTGACTCTGCACTCAGGAATCACTCCTGGCGGTGCTTCGGGAACCATGTGGGATGTTGGGAATCGAACCCAGGTCGGCCGCATGCAAGGCAAACGCCCTCCCTGCTGTGCTATCACTCCAGCCCCCACCAACCCCGTTCTTAAGGCCCCTCGAAGCTCGGTGCTTGCTGTGCCCTTGCTTTAGTCGTTCATGGCGCGTCTAGGAGGAAATGGGTTGTTGTCTTTCTGGCGTTTCTTAGATCCACCCGTTCTGTCCCGAAAGGCACGGCCACCCCTGTCAGTGGCAGGGCGGGATGCACGGGCACAGCTGCCTTGGCACTCACCTGTCGAGGGGCGTTCTGGTCGGCTCCACGTTTGCGCCTTGCTAATTGCGCTGCTGTGAACATCAGGGTGCACGTTCCCTTCTGAAGGGATGTGTTCGAAGCCGTTGGACGAACGCCCAGGAGCGGCGTGGTGGGATCATTGGGGTCTCTCTACCCTTCTCCCGAGCAGCTGCACCAATTTCTATTCCACCAACAGCACGCCCGTTCTCCCTCCACCGTGCCCTCCCCGACACATTCCCAGTACATAAATATTTAATATGGAAGCATTCTTACCAACGGGAAGCGATATTTCAGTCTGGTTGTGATTTGCAGTTCCCAGATGATAAGTGATGGTGAGCTTTTTTTTTTTTCCCCCTTAATGTATCTTTGGGCCATCTGTGTGTTTTCTCTCGACAAGTGTGTGTTCAGGTCTTTAGCTTGTCTTTTTAAATCGCATTGCTTGTTTTCCTAATATTCTGGACATTAACCCCTTGTCGGGTGTCTGCTAGGCAAGTGTCTTCTCCCCTTGCTGGGCTGCCTTGTCGCCGTGTCTAAGCTCTTTTATTAGTCGGGGCCCTGCTTGTGTATTTTTTTAAATTTATTTATTTAAAAAAATTTTTTTATTAGTGAAACACCACGAGGTACAGTTGTAGACTTACAAATTTTTGTGCTTGGGTTTTAGTTATACAATGATGGAGTACCCATCCCTCCACCAGTGCCCATTCTTCACCACCACTGATCCCAGTATCCCTCCCACCCCCCCCATCCCTCCTATCCCACCCTGTCTCTGTGGCAGGGCATTCCCTTTGCTTGTGTATTCTTGCTTTCCTTTTCCTTGCCGTTGAAGTGGAATGTCTAAATCCATCGTGGTTTGTGGCCTTACTGCGTCCCACCTATCCTTATTCCTGTAGATGGATTTGTTCTGTTTTGTCTTGGGTCCACACCCAGCAGTGCCCACGGGTCAGTCCTGTCCATGTTGGAGGGGCCTAAGACAGTGGCCAGGATTGAGGCAAGCTCTTCAGCCCCGGGGGCTCTCTCCAGCCCACCCTTCTGCATATTTCAGTTTGCAGCCTGAGCTCCCATCTTGAATTCATTTGAGTTTCTCTTCTGTGCATTGTATTAAATGGCGCGCAAGTCTCATTCTCCCGCATGTTGTCGTGGATGGTTCGGGGTCCTGCATTATCAATGAGATGGCCGTGTGTATGTGTGTGTGTGTGTGTGTGTGTGTGTGTGTGTGTGTGTGTGGAGGGGGGTGTTGTTATCTCACTGACCCTTGTGCTGTTCTTGCTCCCGTATGAGTGTCTTAGTTCCTGTACAGCTGGGAGCCAGAACTCGCACCAACGCCTTCATTTCTTCCTAAGGAAACCGCCATTTCTTGGTGTTGCCTGGCCGGCTCGTATATTCCGCTCACCTCTTTAACGTTGTCTGTGCTCACTGGGGTTTCCCTCTCTGTCTCTCCGAGTGAGGCTGTCAAGGGGGTCACCATATTTATCGATGACCAGAAATCCCTTCAAACCAGTTCTTGGTGTCATGGATCTTTGCACACACGCGTGTGTGTGGGGGGGGTGGAGGGGGGGGTTTATTTCAATTCTAATTTTACCACTTCTTCTGCTTTTTCTATTTTCAAACAGTTAGATTCTTTCAAACCTGTTGATTCACATAGGCCTCTGCTCCACTGCCCTCGTCTGCGAATCCTTCTTCCTAGAGGCTGACCTTACCATCCTTCATCTCCACCCATCCAGGTAAGTGTTATTTCTCTTTGACCCAGACATTATTCAGAGCCAGGGGATGAGTCTCCCATGTCTGGGGCACCTCTGTTACTCATCTCCTTCCATCACTTCATGTGGATGTTTCCTTGCCATCTGCCACTACACCGATTTGTGCTTTTTTCTCTTTTTTTTTTTTTGGTTTTTTGGGGTCACACCTGGTGACGCACAGGAATTACTCCTGGCGGTGCTTAGGGGACCACATGGGATGCTGAGAATCGAACCCAGACCTGCTGTACTATCGCTCTAGCCTCTACTCTGTGCTTTTCTGTCCCCCGACATCCTTCCCCTGCCATGTCAGGTGGGTGCCCCGGTGTGGGGGTGGGGAGGGGCATTCATGTGAGAGCAGCAAGCCCAGGAGCTCAGCTTCCTGGAGCTCCCAGGAAAATGCACAAATCCCCAACAACATCAGAATGAACCATGGGTTTGACCTTCAGGCAGGGAGGTGCTCGGGCTGTGGACTGTCCACCTGGCAATGCCAGTCACCGGGCTGCTCCCTCACGGCGCACTATGGTGGGGAGAATGACACCAGTAGCCAAGCAGGGACAATACTTGAACACAACGTTTATTGAAGCATAAAACACATTAAAAACGATTTGGTTGATTTTTATAAAAGAGAAAGGGCTGAGCCAGGGCCATGGGCCGCCCTGAGCCTGCAGCCGGCTGGTGCCGGGCAGCATGGGAACCTCAGAGCTGGCTGCACCCTCCCTTCCCGGTTCCTTGGTCTGGCTGCCTGATGCCCCTCTCTGGCAAGGCCCCTGCCCAGGGCTTCCCATGACCCTGGTTTTCCCGTGAGCCCGAGTGTCTCATCACGCGACTGGGGGTGGGGGAGGGCTCATCAGGCCAGAGTTGTGCCTCCCACACGTGGCTCTTGGCAGCCCGTGGCGGCACGTGTGCCCAGTCTGACGGTCAGAGGCAGGTGCTGACCTACGGACACACACCTTTAGCCTACGGGACCAGAGGAAGGCGAGGATGGCACGTCACAGAGCGGACGTGAGGGGACTAGGACACCATGCCGGGTTCACAGACAAGAGGCCACAGTGTGAGCTGGGTCACGACGAGCAGTAGCGTCCACACGTGAAGGTCAGTGGAGGAGTTGGAGGCTGCTGGGGGGGGGTGGAGGGAGGAGCAGAGTGAGTCGGCGGGGGCGGGGCGGGGGGAATCGCGCCAGGACACCCGCCCCAGACGGCCGCGAATCCCTGCTAAGGGACCTGTCCCACAAGGCCCAGGCCGTGGAGGCTCAGGGGAAGCTGGCCATGCCCACTGCACAGAGCTGGATTTTAAAATCAGCATCGTTCAGACCAGAGGCTCCCAGACTTCCTGTGGCTATTGCCCCTTTTCAGAAACAGAAAGATCCAGGCCCACCCCCACCATCTGCCACCTCTAAGCAAAACAAACAGAAGGTGACCCCCGAGGCTACTGCTGTGTCCCCACAGGCGGCCGCCGGCCGGGGGACACGCACCTCGGCAGCTCCGGCCATCCTCCTGCAGTGCCCCGGTCACACAGCTGCACAGAGGCCCGTCCACCCGGCTCGTGCAGATCTGCTCGCAGCCACCGTTGTCCTCACACCAGTCCAGCCCTAGGGCGGGGGTCGCAGGGGTCAGACTGCGGCCAGCACCGACAGCTACCGGCCAGGCCTCTGGGGAGGACAGTGGGGGGAGCCCAGCGCCCAGGCTCCCAGGAGTCCATGGGAAGGCCTCCCCTGGGAACTGGACGCCCCATGAGCCCCACCCATAAGTTACCAAGCAGGGGGCCGCACGTACTTTTTCTCCTAATAGGTCCCACTGAAATGATCTGCTCCTTCGGTTCTTTGCTAGGATCCGTGGCAGCCCTGGAATTCTGGGGGCAGTTCTGCAAGACAGAACACCAGAGGGAGCTTTTCACACAGATGCTCTCTCCCACGTTCCCGCCTGCGAGCGAGGAGCCTGTGGCCGGGGCCTGGAGCAACACCGTGGCTCCGATTACTCAGAACCAGTGCGGTCTCGATCGTGGAGACAGCGGCGGGGACGGGGGCTCTCTGTGGGCGGAAAGAAACGGCTTCTGCCTGGTAGACCGAAATGCCCAGCGTCTCTTCTTGAGGACCACAGCGCCTGGCCCTGCAGGCGTGGATGAACACAGAGCTGGAATGTCCCAGGGCAGGGACAGACGCTGGGGCAGAAGAGACGGTGGCTCCATGACCTCAGCCCCGAGCTCCTGCAGGACCTCATTCTGGGTGCGGGTTGTTTTGGGCCAGGACTTTGGGCCTGTCCTGGCCTCCACAGGCCCCCGCGCTGCTCACTACTATCATTTTTTCTTTTTGGTTCACACCCGGCAAAGCACAGGGGTTACTCCTGGCTCTGTGCCTGGCGGTGCTGGGGGACCCTATGGGATGCTGGGAATCGAACCCGGTTCGGCCGCGTGCAAGGCAAACGCCCTCCCTGCTGTGCTGTCGCTCCGGCCCCTCACTTACGATCTTGCAGGAGTACTTCTCCGAGTCGCAGAGGGAGACGGCACAGTGCAGGTGCACCTCGTCGTAGTCCCCGATGAACTTGAAGACGGTGACGTGGAAGCGGCAGGTCAGGGAGACCCCGTTCTCCTCGATGCCGATGGTGTTGTCCTTAATGTTTTGGCACCTGCTCGGAAAGCAAGTCAGCTTGCCCCTTCCCGGCCCCGGGGAGGCCGGGGTGCAGCCAGGGCGCCTCTGGAAGCATCAGACCACGCCCAGGACGAGTAGCCAGTGACTCTCCATCCCGACCCTGCCCGGGCTAATACCAATGTGACAAAAGCTGCTTCAACTTCCAACCCTACTGGAAAGTCTTCCACATGATGAAGTCGTGGGCCTGGGGAGGGGGTCCCCTCCCACTCCTGCCTCTCCTCCCCAAAGACCCCCACCCATGCCACCCTCTTTTTAGCAATTTCCCCCTGGTGGGGGGGTCCAGCTTCCTGCATCCCCAGCACCCAGCATAGGGGCAGCTGTTCTAAATCATCCTTCAAGGGCCACCCTGCCTGCGGCCGGCCCCTCCGAGCCCACCACACATTTCTTTGAAACGTTGGATAAAATGGGGATGCGTCTGACGCTCCCTGCACCAAGCCCAGGGATTAAGTAGCTTAGTGATAAGGAAAATGAAAAATGGACGTTATCCCCCAGTGTTCCCACACCTATTAAGTTTTGTAATTAGTCTGCAAGGCCACAGTCTCCGAAATGCAACCTCACTGGGCACCCGGATGCCTTTGTGAATCCTCCCAAGGGGTGTGAGGGGGCCAGAATGCAGTCAGTGGCTGGCCGAGCCCTCTCCCCCGGGTCTGAATCTGCCTCCCCTGAAACAGAGGGACCAGAGGCAACATCTTTGTGCCAGGAGAAGCAGCTGCCTATCGACAGAGGTGAGCTGTGCGCCCCCACCCCCAGCGAGTCCCAGAGTGGGGTTAGGAGGGGAATGCCCTTGTGCCAGCATCATGCATGCGAATCCAGGGTTGGGGGGAAGATCTGGATAGTGGGACCCTCCCTCCCCCCTCCCACCCAAAGACCATCTCTGAAATCTCCTCCCTCCTGTGGTTTGGTTTTGTGACCATCAGATGTTTTGTGTTTTTGTTTGTTTTGCTTTGGCTGGTTTGAATCACATCCACCACTTCCCACAGAAGAAGAATTCAGAGTAATGCCATCGTTTAAGAATTATTAGATGGGGGTGATAGAAATGTCCCAAAATTAGATCATAGTGATGACTGCATTCCTCTGTAAATTCAAGAAAAATCATTGAACTTTACACTTGAAGCCAGTAAGTGTGTTTCTACATAAATTATGTATGTAATAAAACTATATATATGTGTGTGTATATATATATATATTTAAATCTTGCTTGACAGAGCCAGGGCTTTCTTCCATCTGATTTTCAGCATCGCAGGATCTGTGGTCTTTTTGTTTGTTCTCAGTGACCGTGGAGGTCAAGCCCCGTTAAGGGCAGTGCTGGGTGTAGACTCATGCCACTCATCTCCCGCAAACCCAGACACCGAGCGGGCAGGACACGGCGCGTGGCGTGTGAAAGCCCTACGCGCTCGGCCCTGTCTCCTCACTGCTGTGTTACTCACCACAGTTCAACCCTCTGCCTCCAGGACGGAGGGGAACGCACTCCCCAGGGCTCTCGGGGCCTGGCACTCACCCGCCTTCGATGATGAAGTAGCGGAGCTTGTCGTTGCTGTCACGGGAGGGGGTGGCGTAGCACTTGTTCAGCGTGAGGATGAGATGTGTGGCATCGGCACCCACCACGAAGACCCCCACGTACAGCACGTCCCGCGTGGTCAGTACCACCTCGCCCTGGCGGTAGGGATGCTTGTAGGAGGCGTTCTTGTAGAGCGCCATCTTGGTGGTGAAGCTGCCCTCTTGCGTTGGCACCGTGAGGTTGATGACACTGGGAGGGAAACCAGCATGAGGCCGAGGCGGGGTGGGGGGGGGCAATACTTCTGTGGCCCGCCACTTCTGCTCTAAGGCTGCCCAACTGGACGCCCACTAATCCCATGTCGGTTAAATCAGATTTGAACGAAAGGAAATGAAAATTTCAATTCCTCAGCCCTACCCCCAGCCACATTTCCAGGGACCATATGGGAAGTTAGAGAACGTTTCCATCATAACAGAACAAGCTGTGCTAAGGCACTCGGGTTCAGAAAATTCTAATTATTTCCCCCTGGTGCTTCAGAGACAGAAACGCTGGCTGTTCCGATGATGTCGACCTTCCCTGCCGGGGAAAGGCAGAGCGGGAGAAGGCGCCCGGAGCACACCTGAGCATGGGCTTCACCACGGAGTCCAAGGAGATCTTGATATCTAGCTCGTAAGCGCACGAAAACTCCACGTTGATCGTCCGGTCCCTGGTGATGATGTTGCCGGTGTTGTTGGCACTTTCGATCCAGATTGTGTTTTTGTACATGATGTGCGTGCCGTTGGACTGTCGGGCAAAGGCAGGGCAGAGAGCATTCCCGCTGCAGGGCGTGGGAGGGGAGAAACGGCCCCCTTCCCTCCCGCCCGCACCCAGAAGCCAGTGTAAATCAGCAGGAAGCAGGCGCGGTGTGTGCCAGGATGAGAAAGGAGGGCACTCAGTGTCAGGGGCACCCCAGGCCACACCCAGACTGCCCACAGAGGGGACCTCACATCCTGCCAAATTCTACCTCCAGCCAGCCCCTGCTTTCCACGGAACTGAGCTGGGCACAGCATGAAGCCTTGTACTGCCTGGTGAGAAATCCTCCTCCGCGCCCCTGAAGAGCACAGCAAATCCCAGCCCGGCAGCCCCGTGCAGTGGCCAGGAGAACGAACACAAATTCCCCTTCCGCCCCCTTCTGCACAGATACCAGCGTCCTTTCATCAACCGAGGACAACAGGAACTGGGGCCCCATGGCCAGGGCTGCAGGGACCTGAGTTTGATCCCCTGCACTGTCCGACTCCTGCCTGGCCTCAGGGCTGAGCCCTCTAGGCACAGGCCCTGCACAGACCGGGTCACTGGACAATGGCTTTGAGCCTTTGTGGCATCCCTGCAGTGGACCCAGGCACCATGCGCCCCTTGGAATCCGGAACCCAGCTCCGTTTATCAGCAAGCAAACCAGGAGAGGCGTAAGGCCACTCACGCACGCGCTCTCAAGGCTTAACCCCCATGCTTCTGTGTGTGTTGTAGTGCCGGGGCTCGAACCCAGACCACGGTGCATGAAAGGGAAGTGCTCTACCACCGAGCCACCTCCGCTAGCTTCCCCAGGACTAAGCCGGTATCCTGCGGGTAGGCTGTGAGGGGTCCCGGCGTGGTGCCCCGCGCGGCCGGCCCTCACCTGCACCATGTTGCCGCAGTTGCCTTTGGTGTTGTTGATCTGGAAGGAGATGAAGTCCTCGCCCTCGATGCCCGAGCACTGCCTGTCGTTGACCCGCACGCCCTCCCGCTCGAAGCCCAGCTGGAAGAGCTTGCACTTGGAGATGGACACCTCCATCTGGGCCGCCTTGCACGTCACCTCCGCGTCGATGATGTCGTGCGAGTCTGCAGGGGCAGGCACGGGAAAGTGACGGGGCAGGGCAGTTCCCCTTGCCACCACCCCCGCCCCCCTTGCAACCAGGAGAGGTTCCCGCTGACTTCACACCAAGGAGGTGGGTGTTCACCCTTCCAGAGGGGCCCCTGGGAGTGGACAGACCCACTCAAAACAGTAGCCGGGGCCTGGGCAAAGCTGAAAATGCTAACAAACTCCTTCCTCGCACCCTGGCCTTTCCTGGCTTCCTATACACTTGAGACGGCAGCTGGCTCAGGGGGACCACCTGGGAAGGCTGCCCCGGCCTGAGCGCAGAACCCTGGGCTGCAACTCAGAGGAGCTGGGAGATCTTGCCGTGAGGCGCACGACATGACCTGTGTCCATCTCTGGGGGCAGAGACACGGGCTGGACAGTGGGAGCCTGGGGGTGTCACATACACTCATCCAGCGAGGCTCACGGTGTGACGCTGAGTGGGCCCAGGGTAAGACCGCACCCCTGCAGGCCCACCTCACCAGGTGCCACCTCCTACATGGGGTTGGGTGGGGACAGGGCCACAGGCCATGGTGCACATCAACCCAAGCCCCCACCCACCCACAAACACTCTGTCAGATCTGGGGCTGCTTCTGCTCGTGTCCAGGTGCACGTGGGTGCGAGTCCCTGGAGGGTCTCACCCGTCCCGCCTGGGCCCCATGCCTCGGCCCCCGCCTGGCACTCACTGTTGGCGTAGGGCGGCGGCTCGATGCAGCCACACAACTCGCCTCCGTTGTCCAGCTCACACGTCCGGTTGGGACAGTCCGCCCCCACGCAGGGGTCTTCGACCACTCCTGCTAAAGAGGAGAACACAGACGCCCACAAGCCGACCTTCCCACCAGTGCCCGGCAAGTGCTCGGACTGCAGATGCTGTGAGGGGTAGCCAGGCCCAGGGGGTCGGTGGGGGGCCTTCCGGACAGGCCCGACCATGGTGGCCAGTCAGGGCCTCCTTACAGGCCCCCAGGGGAGCCCCCAGTGCACAGCGGAACCCCCCCCCCCCCATGTCCCACATGGCAGGTGGTGAGGGGAAAGCACAGACCCCAACCCCCAATACACCAATGACCATTGCCAAGAGCCCGGCTGCCTGCACCATTCACGCCTCCAGGACGTCAGCTCTCCCTGGCAGGGTACCAGCTCACCTCTCAGACTCCCAGCACCCTGCTCCTCCCCACTGCCATTCAAAGTATCTGACGGGGTGGGAGGCTGGAGCGCATGCTTAGTACAGGGGGCGAGGGAGGGGTTCAGCAGGGTTCCCTGGGAACCTGGGGGTGGCCCCCGTGATTTTGTTTGGGGGCCACAGCCGGCGATGTTCAGGGCTTAGGGCTTACTCCTGGCTCTGTGATCAGGGATCACTCCCGCTGGGCTCGGGGAACCACAGGGGGTGAAAGGGATGGAAGCTGTGTCCGCTGCAGGCAAGATGAGCACCCTACCTCGTGCACCCTCGCTCTGGCTCCAGAGCCCGGGTGAAAACTCCAATTTTCCGGAGTTTGAAATGGTCCATTGTAGGGGTGAACTAATGCTCATTGGCACCGCTGGGGAAACCCTCGAGCCGCCCAGGGCTGGCTGGTCCCAGGAGAGCCCCCATGGGCAGTGCACACAGCAGGGTCCGACTCCTGGCACGAAGGGGACAGGGGCCGCTCGTGGGTCAGGACACACCCAGATGTGGGAGACAGTGCAGGGGCGTCACCTGCTCCTCCTCCACCTGACTGACACAGCAGGCAAACGGAGCGACGGACCCAAGGCCAGTCCCATCAGAATATCAGCGCCTCTCTCCTTTATGTGTGTACGCTACCTAACCCCCACCACACCTTCCTTGTTGAGCCAGGCAGCCGGCGGGCCCGGGCCCGCTCACCTGTCGTCACCAGCCCTTCCCAGCGGGGCTGTGTGCAGGGTACGGGGTCTTGGAGAGCCAGTTTGGGAACTGAGACCAGTCAGGAGCCCTGGCTTCCGGCTTCCTCCCTCTGTGTCCTACATCACCACACCTGAGCGTCCCCGAGCTGGCCAGGAGCAGCTGGAAATGCCCCTCATGCTCTCCCACCGCCCCCCTGCAGCTCGCCACGCTGCTCACCCGCAGCCGGGAGCAGGGCAGGGCCCCGCCCGGCGCCCCCGAGCGCTTACAGCAGTTCTCCTTGTCGATCCACTCGGTGCTGAGGATACCGAAGGAGCGGCAGGACTCCCCGTAGGCGGCCAGCGAGCCACACAGCTGGAACTTCCTGTGGTTATAGCAGCCGTCCAGGTAGCAGGACTCGTAGAAGGGCAGCGGGTCGAGCAGCCCGTAGCAGGGCTGGAAGAAGCCCTTCATGTCCGTGAGCTTCAGGCAGTGGCCATCGCCCTGCATGCGCTGGACGTCCACGTTGTCACACGTGGCCGCGTACTGGGAGAACTGGAGCTCATTGCAGCTGGAAGGGAGAGTCGGGTCAGCGAGGCAGAGGCCAGGGTGCCAGTCCCGGCCTTCTGGGACTGGGAGACGGCGGCCGGGAACTGGGGCTGGACAGAAGTGAGCGGGTTGGGGGGGAAGGGGGTGGAATTGTGGGAAAGTCAAGATGACTCGTCTCTAACCCATGCCGGCGTGACAGTCACTGCTGTTGTATCATTGGGCACAGGGAGGGCCACACAAGAGGAGGGGTTGGCAGCAGCAAGCTGGATGAACAACTGGTGTCAGTGGGCCGGCCATTGGCCTTCAGACTGACCGCAGCCATTTACAGAGACTGGCAGTCACCCCACCGCCACACCAGGTTGAACTCATGGCCAGGATTCGGCAGTGAGACTGAGGAAGTGCTCTTGATCAGCGATCACGCCGACGAGGGCTGCTAGTCTGAGGGAGCTGACAGGGAGAGCGGAAGCCTCGCCCAGTCCCAGTTTGTCGGAGACCAAAAGCTCAGGTCCCACAAGAAGACTCATGTCCAGCTGAAATGGTTAGGAAGGGGGTCGGGAGTCAGGGGGGCAGAACTGGAAGTTCCGAGGGAACTGAGCCCTGTTTGTCTCTGGAAGCCCCCCAGTAGTGCCCACGCCCAGAGCTGTCTGTCTGTGGAGCCCCGAAGTGGCCATGTAGAGAGGGCACCAAATTCAGGGCTCTGGAATGCGGCCCTGGCCTTGCCACCGACAGGAGCGTGGTGTAGACCATTCTGCTCTAGTCTCCACTTCAAAGAAGAGATTGTTTTGTTGTTGTTGTTGTTGTTTGGGGGTCACATCCAGTGATGCTCAGTGTTTCCTCCTGGCTCTGCACTCAGGAGTTTACTCCACACGGTGCTCGGGGGACCATATGGGATGCCAGGAATTGAACCCGGGTTGGCCTCATGCAAGGCAAACGCCCTATCCGCTATACTATCCCTCCGGTCCTCAAGGAAGAGACTGGATGAGGTGATGGCGGTTCCTTCCTGCTCTGGGTGCCTGCTTCCTGAGAGTCTGACTTAGACTCCATTGGGGAAGGCAAGGCAGGAGCGTCCTCCCCACATCTGGGTGTTTACCTCACGTGCAGCAGATGAGAGCACAGGGCGTGGAGCCAGTGACCAAGCAAAGAACTGCCAGGGTTGGACCCGAGGGACAGGACAGCAGGAAGGCACTTGCCTTGCACATGGCCAACCCAGGTACTGCATACGGTCCCTGAGCACTGCCAGGAATGCCCCCTGCCCCCTCTGAAGGTCAAGAGAAGCTTTCCACTGATCCCGAAACATACACAGAATTCAGCTGCCAGTAGGGGCCCCAAATCAAGCACCTTTGGAAAGGCATTTCCAGTTCACTCTCTCAGCTGTGAGAGTCACCTGGGTGAGGTCTGATCTTACAAGGCTTTCTGGGTACCCATCCACGCCTGCCTGTGTGAGTCCAGCCAAGCCCTCGGCCAGGCCCACAGACCCAAGCGGGTGGACCCTTTCCCCAAGCCAGCACCCATAATGGTCCCATCCCACCCCCACAGGGCTGCCTGGAGCCCAGCAGGGACCTGGACCCAGGCTTTGGCGTCCTAACCCTGGGCATGGTCTTCCACTCAGCTGAGAAAGTCCCTCAGTTCCCCCCCACCCCCCCAGTGTGGCTCCTTCCTCTGCAGTTTAGTGACTCGGGCCTCTGATATCCCCGTGTGGGTCGTGGGGACTCTGGGAACCCCTGGTTTGGCTTTTTTTCTTTTTAAACAGGGGCCACCGCCAGTGGTGCCGGGAGCTGGTGATGCTTGCGGGGGTGATGTGGTGGGATGCAGCCTTGTACATGTGAGGCAGCTCTGGAAATGGAGCCTGGGGCCAACCACTGAGCTCTCTCTGCGGCCCTTGCTCTGCTGCCTGCAGATAGGAAATGTGACGCCCGCCTTCTGTGGTCACACCCGGCCAGCATAGGCCTGGGGTGAGGACTCACCTCTTCTGCATGCCGTTGGTCTTCCAGCTCTGTGCCAGCACCACGCTGCTCACCACTGGCTTGCCCCGCAGGGTCACGTAGTCATCGGTCAGGTCCCCGTTGAAGTTGCCGCAGAGGCCGCACACCTTGTTCTGCAGCCGCTCGCTGATGCTGATCTTGATGACGTTGTAGCCGTTGTAGTAGATCTGGATGTCGGGGCTGGTGTCGATCACCAGGAAGCCCTCGCTGCTGTAGATGCGGGTGGCCAAGCCCGTGACAAACGGGACGTTCACCTGGGTGCCGTTTACCTGGTGGGGCAGGGACAGTCGGTCGCGTTTCAGGGCTGGCCAACTTGCAAATGGGACTAGAGCAGTGGGGGAGGCACGTGGACTCCCGGGCCCTGCCCTGTAGCGGGGAGCCCCAAAATACGCCCAGCCAGGTGCTCCCTCACTGACTGCCCAGGGCAGAGCAGGTGGGCAGAGAGATGGTGATAGAAGAATCTATCATGAGGGGCTGAGCCGGTGGACACAACTGGCCCCCACCAAGGAGTCTAATGGTCAGATGAATCTGGGGATTACTGCCACGCAGATGGATTTTTCTGTTTATAATATTCAAACTGGAGACCCCAGAGTCTGTGGGTGTCACGTTTCCCATGTTCCTTTCTTAGTCTGGAGGACACGGGCGACATACTTTCCCCTCCTTACAGAATGAACTGAGATCCCCCACGCCATGTTACATTTTTTTTTTAAATGGCAGCCTCCCTCTGAAAAGCATGATTCCATTCCCCAACCAGGCCAGGTCTCTAGAGGGGTCATTTCTCATTCTCCCATTCTGAGTGACACTGTCCTCAACCCAGACAACTGCACCTATGTGGGCTGACTGGCAAAAGGAATCCAGCTTTCATGGAGGAGAAAAATAATGGAAACCCAGACTTCTCCCTGCAAGTTGCCAAGTGCTGCCCGGTGTATGCCCAATGTCAGCAACTTAGCTATGGGCAGAGTCTCTAAACAAAGACACAGGCAACATCTCTCTTCTAAACAATGCTGGGGTGCAGGTCCCTCTCTGCCAGTGCTCCCAGCTGTAATCAATGGGGCCAGCTCTGCCTGGTGGGCAGTCTCCAACTGACCAGATCAGAGGTGTAGCTCTCCAGAGAGCTGTCTCGGCTGTTGGGCTGGTGGTTCCTGTTTATGTAAATTCAGGGTCAGAGTGAGTGCAGGGGTCAGCCTTAGAGGCCCCAAGTACTGCTGGGTGTGGCCGGGGTGACCCTGGCACCCCACCCTGGGGCCCTCACATTGAACTGCAGGCCCGGTGGGCTGAGAGTTACCAGAAGGGTTCTTCGGGCCTCCTAAGCACATGTAGGTATCCCCCAAAGTAAGTCCGGTTGGAAGAGTTACCTCAAAATTTTGATGGTGTAAGAGAAACTGGCCACATTCACCCCAGTTTCTCTCCCTGGAGTCAGACAGTGGGGACACACTCTCGGCTTTTTAATTAGGGAGTGTTTGTGCTTGCCTCCTCTCACCTTCTAGAAAGAACCCCAGAGGATGTGTGTGTGTGTGTGTGTGTGTGTGTGTGTGTGTCTGTGTGTGTGTCTGTGTGTGTGTGTGTCGGGGGAAGGGGGGATCTTGGCAGGTGGGCAGAGCCAATAATAATTTGAAAATCTCATAAAAACAAACGCAAGGCCTTTGGGAAATTAATCTGGAGTAAAAGCGGACTTGGCTCTCGGTCCCTCCCCTGACGTCACCCGCCGGGGATGCAAGGCTTCCGGGCAGGGCCTCCTGAGCAGCCAGTGTGGGTGCCGGGGTGCCCCCCGGGCACCCAGTGCCGGGGGTGGGGGGAAGTGGGGGAGGGAGGGGCGGGACCTTGACGGTGTTGCGGTCACTGATGAGGATCTGCTCCTCGTTGATGTAGAAGTAGACGGGCGAGATGATGGTGAGGTTGGGCGAGGACCACTTGTCGAAGTTGATGATGAGCTGGAAGGAGACGTCGGGCAGCTTCTGGCAGATGGTGGAGAGCACGAAGGCGCAGTTGGCGGGGAAGCGCAGGAAGGCGCCGTCGAAGGTGCGGAAGACGCCCCCGCCCGCCGCCAGGCAGTAGGACGAGCGCGTGGCGAAGCATCCGCGGAGGCCGTGGCGCAGCGCACACGCCTCGTCCGACTTGCACTGGCGCGGGTCGCACTGGATCAGGTTGCGGCGGAAGCAGCGGCAGCGCCGCGTGCAGTCGCTGTTCCAGAACAGCTGCTTGGGCTGCAAGAGAGGCGGGTGTGAAGCCGCGGGGAGGGGAGGGATCTGGAGCCGCCCACCAGGCTGGAGGGGCTCCGCGGCCACCGCGATCGGGAGCTGATCACCGCCAGCCTGCAGTGGGCTGCTGCCAGGTGGGCCAGGTCTAGAGGAAAAGGCTGGGAAACCCTTCTCATGCGGATGGCCTCACTTCAGGGATGAACTCAGAAACCACTCGAGCAATAGCACAGCGGGGAGGGCGTTTGCCTTGCAGGCAGCCCACCCAGGTTCAGTCCTCGGCATCTCATATGGTCCCCTGAACACTGTCAGGAACGATTCCTGAGTGCAGAGCCAGAAGGAACCCCTGAGCATCGCTGGGTGTGACCCCCCTCCCTAAAAAAAGAACGATGATGCCTGGTCCTCAGCCCCACCATCACACCCGCCCTGCCCCCTCCCCATGGCTGCCAATGCAGCCCCCCAGCACCTCCCTTTCTGGGCCCTGAAGTGAGCCAGCGGGACCTTTCCATGAAAGGAAAGCTCTGGAGCCACGTACTGTGGGGGAAGTCCCAGGTATGCACCCCCCCACACACACGTGTCCCCGGAGGAGTATCACTGAAGATGGGGCTGACTCCTGGGGGTGGATGGGGAAAGGAGGGGGGCGGGAGCCGTCCTGTGCACTCCCAGCATGGTGCGGGCATCAGAAAGCACCAATGTCACTTGCAGCCACTTTTTGCTGGCAAGGGGCGGGCCCAGTTCCATAGCTGCTCCGGGCCTTGTCCTTGGCACGCGTAGTCCCCAGCACCTCCAGAAGGGGCCCCTGAGCCCTGCTGGGGGTGACCCACTAAAACGCCAAAGGAAAACTTCCTACAAAGCAGAGCACCCACATGGGGCCCTGTTCTATCCGGGCACAGTTCCTGACGGGCACTCATGGGCCCAGGAAGTCGCTTATAGTCGTCTGCGTGTGCCACGCATTCTTCTGCAAGGCTCCAACTCTGGCACCCTGATTCTGTCACCTGGACAAAGGGCACGCTCCTGTCCATTCACTATATCCTCTGCTCAGGCTGAGAGGCTGGTCCAGAGCAGAGATTGTCCAGGGCAAATTTTTTCGACCTTGTGCATGGAAGATGCGCCCAGGACTCTCTTGCCATCCTCAGAGGGAAGCAGTTTCTGGGACCCATCTCCCCTCCTGGAAGCTCTCACAAGCCGGCTTCCTTCTCCAAGGCTCCTTGAGCGCTGCCCGGCCCCTCTGCAGGCCTCAGACCTCACGTGGCACAGAGAGGACCCTCACCTGGGCTCAAAGAGAAGGCCGTGGATTCACTGGCTCCTCCGCCTCCTTTTCCCTAACTGGCTCAACAGTGGGGCGGTTTCCAGACCCTGGAGGCTGGACACATCCTTGAAACAAGCCCCCAGGCTCGTTGGAACTTTGTCTTGGGGGGAGGGGGGGCAGTGCATCACCTCTTCTCCAAAGAGAACAGAGAGATGCTGTTATCCAAGTCCACTGACATGTTGATGAGATGTGGATGAAGTGTTTACGATGTTCCTAATAGCTTCCAAGTGGGCCCAAGATGCCTGGCCCACGTTCCAGGCACTTTCCTCCGTATCATTTCACTAACACGCCTGGCTCCTGAGTTTCCAGAATATTCCTCCAAAGAATAATGACAACACACACAGTGGCACTAATGAAGAGGCAGCTGGTTCCTTGAGGCACCCACTGGCACAGGATCTCCTCCACAACCGCGGAGCTGGGAGGGTCCTCAATGTCACGGGGACCCCGGGGTGCTCCCCTGTGCCCTTTCAGATTTGTGACCAGTTTGGACTTCTTTCAGATTAATTAGAAAGAGGAACGATTATTTTCTTCCTTAAAAAAAAAAACAAGAAAAAAAACCCCAGAGGCTGGAGCGATAGCACAGTGGGCAGGGCATTTGCCTTGCACATGGCTGACCCGGGTTTGATTACAGCATCCCATATGGTCCCCCAAGCACCGCCAGGAGTAGTTCCTGAGTGCAGAGCCAGGAGTAACCCCTGTGAATCAATAGGTGTGACCCAAAAGGGAAAAAAACTCTGAAATTTGGCATTTCTAAAAGAACATCAAAGCCCACATTCTACTCTTCTGTTTGTCATAGAAAAATTTTCTTCCACTTTCCATCTTTCGAATGAAACAAAAATCGAGGAATTTGCTGGAGACAAGCATGGCCCCTGCCGCTTCCTCTCCCCGGGGTCTCCAGAGCAAAGGTGATGGAGCCATCCTGGCCAGCAGTGCCACCTCACAAAGGGAAGCAGTCTGTATTTTTTTTGTCCTAGATCATTTTGCACAGCGGTTGGACATTTGCCTTGCATGCAGCCAGCCCGGCTGAGCTGGGTTCAATTCTGCTGCCCCTCTCGGAGAGCCCGGCAAGCTACCGAGAGTATCTCGCCCGCACGGCAGAGCCTGGCAAGCTCCCCGTGACGTATTCGATATGCCAAACACAGTAACAACAGGTCTCATGATGGAGACGTTACTGGGCCCGCTCGAGCAAATTGATGAACAATGGAGGACAGTGACAGTGACATTTTCTTTTCTGACCTTTCAATTCCGTGTTCTTAAAGAGGCCGTTCTTTCTCACTGAAAACGCATTAGTTCTGTGGGGTGTTATTTTTCACTTGATTTTTGGGGGGTAACTGTGCTCCTGCCCTCTGAAGGGCATCTCCCTCTCCTCTCCCCTGGGCCCCCTTGTCTTGAATCAAGACTTAAGTTCCTCCTGAAGGCAGGGCGTGTGCTCCATCCTTCCCGCACAGCCTGGCTGGCAGACAGCGACTAAGTAATCCGGCTTGTGGAGGAAGATTCCCACAGGGGATCCAGGCCCACCCAGTGGCATATTCAGCCCGTGTCTGCCCCCAGCCCTCAGTGCCAGCAGGGGGGCATGGGCATAGGTCAGGAACGGCGGCAGTCACCTCGAACGCTCCCTGGGGACGTGCCACAGAGACACCTGGCACACAGGGAGGGCAGGTCAGCCACTGAAGCAGACAGGGAGGCCGCTCCTGCCAGCCCCGAAACTCGGCATCCCCCCACGAGAAGCTCCTCAACTGCGCCAGCCGCATTCAGATTCCAAGCTGGCACCACGGCAAGGGAGCGGCACACACCGGCATGCCAGAAGGTTCCAAAGGAGACTTTGCAAGAGACGGGGTCAGAGGGGTGGGAAGTGAGCCCTGGACACAGTCGGTGGGTGGAGGGCGGGAGGCAGAGTGTCCCCCAGGAGAGGGGGCCTTGGCGTGGGCAGGGAGGGGGCGGGGGGGTTCCCTACCTCGTAGTACTTGCCGTCGGCGTAGCAGCCGCAGTTGTGCGGCAGGATGCAGCTTCTGCCGTTGAGCACGTAGCCCGCGTCGCACTGGCAGCCCTCCACGCAGTAGTGGGCGCACTCGCTCTTGAGGCGGATGGCGGCGCAGCGCGGCTGGCACACGCTCACGCAGCTCTCGTAGTGGCTGTTGGCGGGGCAGGTGACCGCTGTGGGGGACACAGGCCAGGGAGGGCCGGTCACGCGGCCAGAGCCCGGGTCGGCGGGAGCCGCCCGCCTCTGGAGTCAGGAGGAGCTTTCTGGGAGCATCTGTTGGCCTCCTGCTGTCGTGGCCTCCGGGGTCCAGTAGCGGAAGGGCCTCTCCGGTCACTTCCTACGGTCTGAGACCCTGCTGGCTTTCTGGGGACCCCCGCCCTACCCACTCCACACTGATGCTTGCCCTGTCTCACCCGCATTGCTCAGCCCAGCAGTGCTCGGGCTGACTCCTTGCTCTGTGCTCAGTGCTTGGAAAGCGGGGATGTGGGGCCCTATGTGAGGCCGGGGGTCACATGGGATTGGCCTCACACACAACACGTGTCTGCACCCCCACCTATCTGTACCTTTCTTCATCCCCATAGTCGCGCCACAGGCTCCCCAAGAAGAGGACCAGCCCCTTCTCTCACCCACACCTCAGGCTGACACAGAAGCCTTTTCTAAGTGGCTGATGAGGACAGGCCTGGCCTCTGAGGTACAAGAAGCCAAGCCAGCATCACGTGTGCTCCGGGCGGGCCCGCCACTGCTCTTGTGCGCAGGCCAAGGGAAGGCTCAAATCTGGGGGTGGGGGCAGCTCAGACTCTCAGCCCCCACCCCAGAGAGCCACACCCACAGCCCTGCTCTCTGACCTGCTGGGGGGGAAGGAGCTTCTGAGCTTCATGAAGTGCTTGGCAGAGACCAGAGAGAGAGTGCAATGGGGAAGGCATTTGCCTTGCACATGACCGACCGGGGTTTCAACCCTGGGACCCTCGATGGTCCTTCAGGGCCCACCAGGAGTAATCCCTAAGTGCAGACAGAGCCAGACAAGCCCTAAGCATTGCCAGGTGGGAACCAAAAAACAACCACCAAAAGATGCTTCCAACATCTAGGTGCTGGCTGAGTACCAAAGACAGGTTTGCTCACAAGTTCTACAGAAGGTATGAAACGCATCCATCTGCAGGAAAGGCAAGACAGCCACGACGTGGCGCTTTTTACTCTAACACCTGCCGCGTAATTGGGGGGGGGGGTGTTTTTCAGATGATCTAGGCAAAATCTGACTTCTGGGGAGCATAGTTCTCTGAAACTTAAGATGTGTATAGAGTCACGGGACCATTACTGTCGCATACTACATACTAAAAGAAAACATTTAATTGAGTGTTTTGGACATTAAATGAAAACATTTTCATTTAAAACACCTACTTGAGACAAAAAAAAAAAACACCATCTAAATAAATGTGCGATGGAAAGACTGCCTCTGGTAACAAGCTGTAGAACCTTCTAGCAATTCTCTCTGCACACACAGCACCCCTGTGAGTGCATGGACCTGTGAATCCCATTCCCTCCCCGCCCTCTGCCTACATAAATGGGACAAAGACAAGTCTGGTGGTTCTCTGCTCTCCCGAGAGCACGGTCTGCTGTGTTTGCTAGTCCCACATGAGAAATTTTTCCTCCTGAGGAAGCGAATCTCCAGAAGAAACTCGTGGCAGAGTGGCTACTGGGTCAGGGATGTGTCACCTTGACTTTCGATCAATGCACTGAATAGCCCTGGAAAAGGTAGGGTCCACTGCTCTGCGCCCAGGGCTGCGCGGGGGAGGGGGGGTGTTGAGCGTCCCCCTGACCCTCACCACTGGCTCACCACCAAACTGAGTCCTGGAACCTTGAGAGGTCACGGCTGAGAAGCACCGAGGACTGTTCAGACTCAGGAACAAAGAAACACCCAGAAATCAAAAACAGGCGAAGGACCCGAATAGACGTTTCACCAGCGAAGAGAGCGAAAAGGTCAAGAGGCGTGTGAGATGTTCCACGTCAGAAAACCCCAGAGAAATGCAAACGGACCCAAATGGATACTACACGGGGAGACCACCTGCACCCTGCCATGGGGCACGGCTAGTGCCAGCAACTGAGATCGGCCGCTAATAAGGAAAAAATGGCAATGATGCGGGGAGACTGGCCCCCCGGCCCTCGTAGGGGCTGTAGAACAGTAGCACTGTGTGGGGAGAAGAATCGAGATTCTTCAAAAGATGAAGAATCAGAACTTAGTCACAAAGTCCCTCCTTTTCCTTCTCCTTTACTTTCCAATGAACTTTTCTACTTTCTAAAAAAAAATTAAAAAAAAATAAAAAGGCGATGCATCAGCATCTGACCCAGAAATTCCACAGCTAGGCACGTACTCAAAATATCTGAGAGAAGTGACTGTCTCAGCACCCCGGATGGGCCACGTTTACATCCCGTCAACCACAGTGGCAGAGTTGCAGGGGCTCTGGCGAACCACCAGGGACCAGTGCCATAGGGTACTTCTTCTCCGAGGAATAGCCAGGGCCAGAGACCCAAAACTACAGGGAGGGGAGGGGTGGGGCACAGGGGGCCCCGGGGGTCAGGGAGCCAGTGAAAGGCCCTAAGAAGGCACAGAGCTTCTGCTTCCCAAGGGACAAGCATTCTGGAGATGGTGACAAGGCAACAGTGTGCCAAGAAGCAGTGAAGGGTGTCAGGAGGGAGCACAGTGATTAGGGTGCCTGCCTCACATGCGCCAGCCCCAGGTTGGATTCCCGGCACCAAATGGCCCCTGAGCATTGGGTGGCAGCCTGGAGGCGCCCAGCATTCCCAGGGTGCCCTGGGGATCCCCAGCACTGCAGGGCTTGAGAAGAGCCACATCCGCACAGTATTTCACTGGCCCACTGGCTCAGAGTCATGGGTATTCTCAGTCTCCTGAGCACCCCTTTGGGTGACCAACCAAAAAAAAGTGAACCGAAGAAATAGTACAGGAGGTGTGAAAGCACTTGTTTTGCTAGTGGTCAATCCCACTTCAAACGCTGGCACCACATATGGTCCCCTAAGCACTGCCAGGAGTGATCCCTGAGCACTGAGCCAGGAGCAATCCCTGAGCACAGAGTCAGGAGCAAGCCCTGAGCACCATACTGCACTGTAGGGGGCTGGAGCGATAGCACAGCGGGTAGTGTGTTTGCCTTGCACGCAGCCAACATAGCCAACACAGGTTCGATTCCCAGCACCCCATATGGTCCCCTGAGCACCACCAGGAGCAATTCCTGAGTGCATGAGCCAGGAGTAACTCCTGAGCATCGCTGGGTGTGACCCCCAAAAGCAAAAAAAAAAAAAAAAAAAAAAAAAAACACCGCACTGTAGCACTGCACTATCCTCCCGATGTTCATCAATTTGCTCGAGCGGGCCCAGTAACATTGTGAGACTTGTTACTGTGTTTGGCATATCAAATACGTCATGGGGAGCTTGCCAGGTTTTACTGTGCAGGTGAGATACTCTTGGTAGCTTGCCCGGCTCTCCAAGAGGGGCGGAGGAATCGAACCTGGGCCGACCAGGTCGGCTGCGTGCAAGACAAACGCCTTACCCGCTGTGCTATCACTACAGCCCTACCATAAACAAGCACATGCAAAAAAGTGCAAAGCGGGGCTGGAGCCATAGCACAGCGGGTAGGGCGTTTGCCTTGCACATGGCAGACCCGTGTTCGATTCCCAGCATCCCACATGGTCCCCTGAGCACCGCCAGGAGTAACCCCTGTGCATCGCCAGGCGTGACCCAAAAAGCAAAAAAAAAAAAAAGTGCAAAGGACATAAAAAAGGAGCTTAAGGTGAAGGTAATACAGACAAAACAGGACAAGTGAAAAGATGATTGATCAGTTTTGCAGATAATGCTAATAAGGGTACAGGTAGAGCACCTTGCCAATTTATCTATAGCATGTCCTCTCATTGTTCATTGAGAGGGCACCAGTAACGTCTCCATTGTGAGACTTGTTGTAACTGTTTTTGGCATATCGGATACATCACGGGGAGCTTGCCAGGCTCTGCCATGCGGGCGGGATACTCTCAGTAGCTTGCCAGGCTCTCTGAGAGAGACGAAGGAATCAAACCCGGGTCGGCTGCATGCAAGGCTGTGCTATCGCCCCAGCCCATTATTATCAATACCTGAAAAAAATTTTAATTCTGGGGTTACTCCTGGCTTTACTTGGGGTTCACTCCTGGCTCTAAGAATAGGACTCACACCCAGCGGTGTTCAGGGATGCCAGAGATAAAACCCATGTTAGCTGCGTAAAGGTCAAGCCCTGCCCGCTGTACTAGCTCTCCAGCTCCTGAAATTTTATCTTAATTATTTACCAAATTTGTGTGTGTAGTGGGGGCCGGGGAGAGGTGTTTGAGACCCCAGCGGTGCTCAGGTGCTATTCCTGAATTCAGTGCTCAGGGATCATGCCTGGCAGTGTTCAGGGGACCATACGGGATGCCGGGGATCAAACCCAGCTTGGCTGTGTGCAAGGCAAGTGCCCTACCTGCTGTACCATGGTCCCGGTTCCTAATGGTGATTTTATTTATTTAGTTTTAAACTATTTGTTTTGGTTACTGTTTTTGCCATGTAGAAATATAAAAAATTTTAAGTGGTCATACTTATCGGGTTTTAGGTGACTTGCTTAGATAAGCACTCTCTTTACTGCAATATTACAAAGAAAAGAATTTCTGTGTTTACTTTGAGTACTTTAAAGAACTGGGGGTGGGGGGCTCTTAAGTGCTGGGGGTCCAGGGACTGTTCCTGCCCAGTCTCTGTTAACCAGATCATTTGGTTGAGCACCAGGACCTAGGCATAAGGTACAACCTTAGACCTTATCATTAACTCATCACCCTGGTTGGCTGAGAATTGCCGGGAAGGGCACTATTTGGGATCCCCCTGAAGACCCACTAATCCATTGACTCGGTGCCGACCCCCAAGGATCACAGCAGAATAATAGAAACTGCAGTGCCAGAATCAGTTTCACACCCCGAGGAGTCGGGGGGTGGAGGGGAGTTTCTTCCTGGGGTCAGGTCAGGGTCCTGCTAGCTGGGTCCCTGCTTCCCTGAGTGATGCCTGAGATGCCCCTGGAGATAGGCATGCCACACTCGGCCCTCAAAGCAGGCTCATCCCACCTGCCGCCTCCCCTCGCTCGGCCAGGGCCTGGCTGTCGGGTTTAGAGGGTGACACATCCCCTCGACGCACGGAGGGGCCCCTGTGAGGCCAGTTTCCAGACCCTGACTGATAACACTGCTGCTGGTGGGGTCAGAGGCAGTCTGGACCATGACGCCCACTATCACCACCGCCCCCTTACTCAGGAACAAGCCTGGACAAGACGGCTTCGGCTTCTACTACTTCCCAGGAATAAGCATCCGAGCATCAGACCAGTTCCCAGCAGTTCGTCCAATTTGCCCTCTCCGGGGATGAAAGGGGTATCTAGGGGCTGGAGCAATAGCACAGCGGGCAGGGCATTCATTTGCCTTGCATGCAGCCAACCCAGGTTCGATCCCTGGCATCCTATATGGTTCCCCGAGCACCACCAGGAGTAATTCCTGAGTGCAAAGCCAGGAGTAACCCCTGTGCATTGCCGGGTGTGACCCCAATAAACAACAACAACAACAACAAAAAAGAAAGGGGCATCTATTCTCGGGACCCCCATGAATGCATCATTACCCGCTCTACACGTTCAGCATCCAAGAGCAACCTTTTCCAAACATCTAGACCTGAAGGTGATTTGCTCCAATTCATGAGCTGGAGACAGAGAAATAGACCGAGCCCAACGGACCCAAGCCCACGGGTGCGCATCCTCCCTGCTCCCTCTTACTGCAACATGCTCCAGGCGGGTCCAGCCGGCCAGTGGCAGGCACACCAGGCTCCAGTGTGCCCTGGCCACTCAGACCGCTGACCTCAGCTAAGTGACTTACTTGCCCGAGTCTCCAGGACTAATGGAGCTCGTGGGTTGAAAACAAAAGTGAAATCTGATAAGGGGTTAGCCCTTATAAGGGCCAATGGAATAACTGCCCTCCACACGCCTGGCATGACTGGGGTTCTCGGGCGCCTCACCGGTGCTTTCTGGAGCAGAGACAGCGCAAACAGAACATTCTTGAGGGAAACCGAGGACCAGGGAGAAAAGGGGCTGCCTCCAAGCCCTGGCCCAGCCTTGCGCCAGGGCAGGGGCTCTGATTCTTCACCTAATGTTCTCCACGTTCTGCTGTATCTCACACAGGCAGATACCCACACAGGGTGGGACACGGGAGCCTGTCAGAGGCAGGCGGCAGGTCGCCTGCCGGGATGGTCCAGTGTGAACCGGCCGACTGAGTCCTCCCTGCTGCAGCCCTTGGCTGGAATTTCACGGGACCTCATGGAGCCCAGCTGCCCCCGGCTGCTGTTTCTCCTGTTGTCCTCAGAACTCCACCCCAGCAATAGGGAAACTGCAGGGGACAACACCCAATCCCAGGGGCACTTAGGGTGCTCTCTGCCTTCGCTTTCACTGGCTACTGCCCCCACGCCAACTTTGATGAAAACAGGAGAGGGTCTAGGGAGAGTGAGCGAGCAAAGGGCTGCAGCAGGGGCTTCGCATGCAGCTGGTCTAGGGGGTCGCTCCCTGGCCCCATTGTACCCCTCAACCCAAGTCCAGCCTCTAAGCAACAGAACGAAGGCAGCAGGCAGGAAAATGGGGCAGGACTCACTGCAGGATGTGTAATTCCTCCAGCCGGTGACAGCGATGCCCTGTGTCTGGCACGTGCTGGCATAGTTCTGCAGCCAAGAGCAGGCGGTCTGCATGGCACCGCCGTCCACGCAGGCGTCCAGCAGGCAGTTCTTGTGGAAGAAGGCGGGGTTGACCTTGCTGTGGCACTTGGTGAAGCCGGCCAGCGGGCTGGGGATGAGGCCGCACAGCTGCTGGGCCTTGGAGAACGTCTCCACCTTGGTGCAGGTCGGGCAGTGGTCCCCGCAGCCCACCTGGCAGAAGGTGTCCCTCTGCACCCAGCTCTGGCCAAACTCGCTGACGCTGGCCGCCGGCAGGCCCAGGGGCAGCTCCAGGTCGTCTTCAGGGTCGCCGTTGTAGCGCCCGCAAAGGCCCTGCGTGGCGTTCTGCAGGCTCCGCGGCACCGTGATGGACAGGAAGGTCCGCCAGTCGTACACGACCTTCAGGCCGAAGTCTGTCTCCACCACCACATGGAAGCCGAAGGAGAAGATGTTGACCTTCCCCTGCCCCAGCTTCAGGGGCAGGTAGAGGCGCTCGTGGTTGACCTGCGGGAGGGGCGGGGGCAGCGTCAGTGCCCGTCATCAGCCGCCCTGGCGGCGAGCTCGGCAGACTTGCAGGAAGATCCCCTGGACGCTAATGTGCCTATTTGTTTCTCAGCCTTCTGTTTCCGTGGCATTATTTCCCCCAGGAGTTCAAATTGTTTTCTCCAAGGTAATGAGAGGGTAATAAGAATTCAATTAAAGCTTAGACGAAAATACCCCAACCTCCAACTTCTGTGTTTCTATTTCCAGCTCGTCGAGGGGTGTATTTTAGGTAAGCGCCCAGGAATTCGCTCCTCGGGGGTTGGTTTTCCTCCTAACCAGTAACTCCCCCTGGCACCTCCATTCTTCACCCCTCAACCACCTGCTCACCCTCCAGACTCAGCTCCTCCCTCGGTCTCCTGCGGAGCAAGCCCCCCACTCAGACTGGGCATGGGACGGGGGTGGGGGGAGTGGTGTGTGTGTGTGTGTGTGTGTGTGTGTGTGTGTGTGTGTGTGTGTTTTGGGTACAAGCTGAGTCCCTCTCTCTTCCCACATGTTTCTGGAAGCTTTGCTCCTCTCTGGTTCTGAATACTTAGCCATGTCACCACCGCCCTGGTTATTCAGTGCATCCCCCCCAACCCCCACCCCTCATCCCCACCTAGCTATCTTTCAAGCTTTTCCGGGCTTTTGGTTTTCTTCTAAATTAGAGCTTGTTAGGAGCCCCTACTCGGGCCTCCCTGTGGGATCTCTGCCTGGGATTGCCCCCTCAACATCAGCCCTATCGGGTGCCACGTGCTTTCTGATCTCATCCAAGCTGACTCCGGCACCCTGATTCTCTCTCAGGTGCTCCCCTGCTCCCTCAGGGGCCTCCCTCCTGCTGGGGGCTGCTGGGATGGCACATGTATGCTGGGAGGGCGGAAGCTGGCCTCCGGAGGGAAGGGGCTTGCTCTCCACGCCAAAGGGATCTCAATTCACTGCCATGGGTGCCACCATTTGCACAGGACTCCCCCTCAGGCCCCTCTCCTGGATCCCAAAAGTGCCTGCTGGACAATCCGGAGGGGTGGGCTCCTTGGTTGGGACAGCCTCACCCCAGTCTCGGCCGCTGCCTTCCAGGCCTGCCTCCTCCTGCCTTGCCTCCCTGAGCTGAGTCTCTCCCACAGGGGGTTGCTTGCCCTTGGATGAACGCTGTATCGCCTCATCCCAGCAAAGCCCCGTTTCCGGATCAGGCCACGTTTGGATGCCAGTGCTGAGAGTTCAATCTGGCTTTTCTTATTTGTTTTTGAACCACCCTGGTGATGCTCAGGGATTTTCCCTAAAGTTACTCCTTTTTTCAGGAGTTACTCCTGGTGGTGCTTGGGGCACCGTATGGGATGCCGGGGATCAAATCTGGGTTGGCTGCATGCCAGGCAAATGCCCTCCCTGCTGTATTATCGCTACAGACCCTAACTAAACCTATCTTTTCGAGGGGCGTCTGGGGAAAGACGCATCCCATCTTACCGCAGGGTTAATGAGGAAGTAATGAGCTTCTTGGGGGAGCTGGTGGATGGGGCTGGGGTCACCCTTGCCAGGGCCCCACTTTTCAGCCCCGTGCCAAGCTGGGAAGACTGCACGGCCTTCCAGTCTCTGGCAAGGAGACTGGGCGCGGGATGCATGGAAGGTTCTGGAGCCTGCGGTGTAGGGTGCACACTCACTCTGCATTATTAATATGTGGTACAGGCTCGGCTGGTCCGTGATTTGCATTTGTTTTTCCTGTGATGTTATTATTAGTCACCCTCACTCCCCGAGAGAAGAATAATAGCGGCTGCTCCTGACAGGGGGCAAGGACAGGCGGGCAGAAGGCGCCCGGGAGCCAGCACCACCCGTGCAGGGGTGACGAGGAAGCGATCCCTGGGCGTGCTGGGCCCCTCCTGACTCAGACCTTCGCTGCACTGAGTAGGGCTGGAGGTCAGGGGGAAGGTCCTGGCCAACGGGCAGTGGACATCAATCTGGACTCGGCAGCCCAGACAGGGTGAGGGTGAGCAGAGAAAGTGATCCACTCCCGGGGTCCAGGGGGGCCTCCCCCATGGGCCAGGCCTGGGAGAACTGTGAGCGCCCCACCCCCCGCTGCCGTCTGTACCCCACTGCCGTGCCAGTGTCAGCAGAGGCCTCATCTGGAGTCTCTCTGGCAGCTTAGGATGGGCATCTGCAAAAACCTGTCCTCTGCCGAGCGCTGGGGATGCGGAATGGCGCCGACAGGGCTGTCCCGAGAACTCAGGGTCTGCAGGAGACACGGGGGCCTTGGTGTGGAGATGAATGCGCCCTGTAGAGCCCCACAAGGGATAAGGCCCCCCTCGGGGACCGGAGGCCAACAGGGCGTTGGGCAGAGCCTAAGCTTGCAAATCCCATCAGACTTCCAGAAAGGACAGGGGACTGATTGGGACCCAAGGTCTCCCCGCCCCACCCCCGCCCCCTTCACAGGGATGGGTGCCCCAACCTGCAGACTGGCCACCCAGCTGGATGGGTCCCGGGGGGGTTGGCCTCTCTCGCAGACTCTGTTAATTGTGGAAGGATCTGACTGCTCCCTACTCGGGGGTTGTGCCTTGGGCGGCAGAGTCCGGACTCAGGAGGTCAAGGGGCAGGAGCCCTCTGCCCTCTTGTGCCAAGCTGACCCCTGCCTCCAACGCACCTTGAACACCTGAATACCACCTATGGGACTTGCAGGGCTTGAACCACGCCCCCATCCCGAGGCCCCACCCCTCTCTGAAGCTCCTCCTCTAGGCCCCGCCCCTGAAGCCCCCCCTACCAGGTGCCTGCCCCTCCCCAGGACCTGCCCTACAGCCCCTCCCACCCATGGCCCTGCCCCTCCCTGAAGCTCCTCCCCCAGGACCTGCCCTACAGCCCCTCCCACTCATGGCCCCGCCCCTCCCTGAAGCTCCTCTCCTAGGCCCCGCCCCTAAAGCCCCACCCCTCCCTGAAGCTCCTCCCCAGGGCTCCGCCCCACAGCCCCGCCCCAGCAAGGCCCTCGCCCACTCACGCACCAGCACCGTGTGCTTGTAAGCCCTGTGGATCACGATGCTATAACCGAACACAGTCACGTCCACCTGCTTGACCCATAGGGCCAGAGATGGGTCTCGGTCCTCATTCCTGGCGGTGACGGTGAACTTGGGGAGCGTGTGAGAGCTGGGCCTGCTCCCAGTGGTGCACAGGATGAGTGGGCAGCTCGTCTGGAAGTCGAAGGCGAAGCCGTCGAAGGTGAGGTAGTGGCCGTAGCCAGCGACGATGCAGGAGGCGTCGGTGCGAGGCTGGCAGTAGTGCAGGCCGTCCTCCTCCATGCAGAACTCATCTTCCCTGCACGGGAGGGTTTCGCAGTGGACGCTGTTGTCGCTGCCGTTGCAGTAGCAGAAGACCTGGCAGTCCTGGTCCATCCAGAAGGTCTCATTGGTGGCCAGCAGGTGGCCCTCGAAGTTGCAGCCACACTCGCTCCGGCTGACGCACTGGCTGCCCTGCAGGGCGTAGCCCTCGTCACACTGGCAGCCCTCGGAGCAGCTGTCCACGCAGATGGGCCCCAGGGCCAGGGTCTCACAGGTCTCCGTGCACGCCACACACTCCTCGAAGTGACTGTTCTCCGGGCAGTCGAGAGCTGCGGGTGGGCAAGGAGAAAGCAAGCTTGAGTGTCGGGCTAGGGCCAGAGGCAGCCAGTGGGCTCCCTCTGCAGTGCACACAGGTTTGCTCAGCCAGTCTGTGGCAGACCCCAGATCCACGGCACTCTCAGGGCAGGAGCCACGGACCCGCAGCACTGTGAGGGCGGGAGGCCACGGACCCACAGCACTGTCAGGGCAGGAGCTATGGATCCACATCTCTGACAGGGCGGGAGGCCACGGATCCACAGCAGAGACTCCTTGCTCCCTCTGGTGTAACGCTTAAGCTAAGCCTGTTCTGTCTGGAATCATCCTGTCCCACCAGTTGATGGCCAAGTCTCACGCCTCCCAATTTCATGTTCGTGAGTTTCGCTTGTGCCCCCTTGCAGCATCCCGGGGTTCTCCAGGAGGCCCCGACCGAGAAGCTTGGCCCTAGAGCACCTGGCTTCCCACTGTGTGGCCTGCTCCAGGCACCTGGGAGGTGGGCATGGAAAGCCGGGGAAGCGTGTTCTATTGCTGCTGGGTTGTGTTAGTTTGGGGGCCACACCTGGCCATGCTCAGGGATCACTCTTGGTGGGACCATATACAGTGTCAGGGTAACATAAGGCCAGTGCCTTATCCTCTTGGATCTCTCTGGCCCCCAAACCGGGGAATGTCTCCTCCTCTTCAGCTCCCAGAGAGAGAAACTGAACCCAGCTAACAAGGACCAGGAAGAGATTCGGCCCCTGCTCTCCTGGGGGAGAGAACGTTCTAGAAAGAATGGGCGTGTTGAGGCCACTGAGACCTGTGGATGGCATCCCTGTGCTTCCACTGACCCAGGCTGACACAGATCTGCCGTTCTGAGGCCGCAGACTCACAGTGGGAGCTGGACCTCCCCTGCACTGCCTTCTCTGATGCCATGGCTCTGAGGAGATTCACACTTGCTCCCCTGGTTACTGAGGCTTCACCACTCGCCCACCGTCTCCTGAAGGTGATCACCCTGTTACCGGCTCCCTTCTCTGTGCCCTGTCAATTCCGACCCGGTCCTCTTGTTTCCTCTCCAAGTGCACCTGAGCCCAGAACAGAGCCTCTGTGCCACAGAACAGAGTGTTCAGACTCCCAGCATGGGCCTGCTCCGGTGTCATGGGGGGAGTCTGGCGCGTCAGAATCGAACAAGGGCAAGAGTATGCTGGGGAGGGGGGAGGGGAGTAGAGCTGGAGTGACAGCACAGCGGGTAGGGCATTTGTCTTGCATGCAGCCGACCTGGGTTTGATTCCCAGCGTCCCACATAGTCCACCGAGCACCGCCAGGAGTAATTCCTGAGTGCATGAGCCAGGAGTGACCCCTGTGCATCAACGGGTGTGACCCAAAAAGAAAAAGAACGAGAAGGAAGGACAAAGCTACCCTGCCCACGCTGTCTCCGGAAGCGTGCAGGTCCTTTCCTCGCCTGGGAGAACCAGGTCTCGCCTTTCCGACGTGCTCCGGTTTGTGTGCTCAAGATCATTCCGAGAGCACACCTCTGATCCCCGGGCATGGAGGGTACCATGGAGCAACCACGAGCTGTGCCCACCAGCGCCAGCTCTATGACCGGCAGCTTCTCTCTCCTCTTGGGCTCCGAGACGGGCCCCTCTGCTGTGGGCCACAGGGGCCCGAGGCTGGTTCTGCGCTGATTAACTGTGTCTGTGCAGAGGGAGTCTCGCATTTGTCTCTAAATTATGAATGTTATAACTCTGACTGCAGGTTTATGGTGATAGCAAATAACATGACTTATTTAAACGGCTCGCGCATTATGACTTATTGTGTTGTCTGGATTTGTCTGGAAGTCTGGAACATACCGACGTGAAGTAATAAACCTCCCCGGGCCCCTGGAATGCCTTCGTGATATCCCTTAATTGGGTAGCCCGGCTCTGTGGACAGGAGAGCCAGTTAGAAATACCCGGATGTGGAAGCAGGGTCTGTCTCCAGGACTGGGGAGGACTCTGCCCTCGCTGTGGACCCCTTGTCCCATCCAATCCCTTGCAGGTCAGCCGCCCAGGCACAAGCAGGCCTGCTGGTCACGTCTACAAGCACAGCCACGAGGCAAGGGGGATATCCAGTTCGCACCCCAGGAAGTCATACTCCATATGGCTGCTCCTGATCACAAAGTCTCTCTCTAAAAACAGGCTTCTCGGAGGTCTTCCTGGGTCTCTGCAGGCCAGATGCAGGAGGGCGAGAGTTCTCCTCAGCATCTGCTCTCCCCAAGCACAGCCGCATGACAGCCGGCCTTCCACGCTCACAGAATCATCCAGAGCCTCGCTCTGCCTGGGAGATGCCTGGAGAGACAGCCTCAAGCAGGCATGGCCACACACCGAGAGGGACCGGAGACTCCAGACCAGGTCACCCCAAGCACAAGAGCTAGAGAGCAGCTGTACTAGGGAACCCAGAAGAGAACAACGGGCAGTGGGGTGAGGGAGTGGGGGCTGGGAAAGTGCCTGGGGGCTGTGGTGTGCTGTCACAGGACTCAGGTGGGAGCCTTTGTGGAAGGGGGTCCCAACAGCCCAGCTGCCTCAAAGGCATGCTCGCTGGGTGCCAGTACCCTGAAATTCACACGTGGACTGAATTACAACTAAACTTAGGAATCACATCTGCTGTCACTTGTTCTCCAGCGTGTCTGATGCTCAGCAGGGACATAACCGCCCCCTCTGAGTGACAGTCACTAACGCAAGAATGACCCAGTGGCAGTGGGTGATCCTCATCTACACCTTGGTTTCTAATAACACTTCGCCCCAAATGGAGTTGGGGCTCACTGGGATGACGGAGGACTCTATCTGGGGCAAGGAAGGTTAAGAGGTGAATGTGGAGCTCGTTTTGTTATGCAGAAGTTTAAAAAAAATGCTCAAAAACAATAGTCACACTATAAAGGCATCTAGGTGGCCAAAATGAAGGGGGTCCCAACTCTGGAACAATAGTTGAAATTAAGAAATTATAATAATTAACAATAGAATAACCAACAAAATATCACTATCACTATCCTCCCATTGTTCATCGATTTGCTCGAGTGGGCCCAGTAACATTGTGAAACTTGTTACTGTGTTTGGCATATCAAATACATCATGGGTGGCTTTCCAGGCTTTGCCATGTGGGCGAGATACTCTCAGTAGCTTGCCAGGCTCTCCAACAAAATAATACAATAAAATATAAGCCACTGAAAAATATTAACTTATGGGGCTGGAGTGACAGCACAGCAGGTAGGGAGTTTGCCTTGCACATGGCTGACTCAGGTTCGATTCCCAGCATCCCATATGGTCCTCTGAGAACCACCAGGAGAAATTCCTGAGTGCATGAGCCAGGAGTAACCCCTGTACATCACCGGATATGACCCAAAAACAAAAAAAAAGAAAAAGGAAAAGAAAAAAGAAAAATAGTAACTTATGTGACTGTACAGGTAACATGAAAACTGAAGTGAATGGAGGTGAATGGATGGACGGAGTGGACAGAGGTGGGTGATGGATGGAGATGGATGAAAGTGATTGGGTGGATGTGGAGAGATGAAGGCAGATAGTGGGTGGATGCATGCATGGGTGGATGTGGTTGGAGGGGTCTTGATGGATGAGTGTTAACAGAAGGATGTGGACAAATGAATAGGTATGCATGGTTGGATGGATGGATGGTGGGGGTGGATGGATATGACTGGATGAATGAACATGTACAGATGATAGACATGGGTGGAAGAATGTGGGGAGTGGATGGATAGATGTGGGTAGATGGATGGATGTAGGCAGAGGGATGTGGTTGGATGGATGTGAACGGATGGGTGTTAATGGATGGATGTAGGCAGATGAACGGATGTGGCTGGGTGGATGTAGATGGATGTGGATGGATGGACATGAATGGATGGATATAGGCAGATGGATGCAGACAGATGGATGATGTGGCTGGGTGGATGTAGATGGATGAATGAATGTGGATGGATGGATGAGAATGAGATTGGATGGATGTAGACAGATGGATGGATGTGGCTGAATGGATGTGGATGGCTGTGAATAGATGGATATAGGCAGATGGATGGATGGATGTGGATGGATGGATGAATATAGGTGGATGAATGAAGATCGACTGATGGATGTGTACAGATGCTTGAATACTTGATAAACAGGTGACAGCAAACTGAGAGAACTACTTACAATACAACAGCGCTAGCTGACTGGAGACAGAGGTAGGAGTGTTGAAGGGATAAAGCATCAGTTTGTACACATCACACTAAAGATAGATACAAGTAAAACCCCTCCCTTGGCCCCAAATCATGTCGAAGTATTCTGATGAGGTGCAGGGGATTTTCCTGTGCAGTGTCAAGAACCTGCCTCCATCCCTCCTTCCCGACCATGCCTCAGTGGGAGAGAAAGGACAGTATGGTCAGAGAGGAGTCATCATGCTCTGCTGTGGTGTGGGGAGAGATGTCTCTGCCCCCTGGGCAAGGGTGTGTGTGCCGGGCGCAGGGAACCTGGTCCTCCTGGCGAGACAGCAAACTAAATGGGAGGGTGGCACTGTCTCTAACAAGGAAGGGCACACTCTCAAGGAACAAACAAGCTGTGAAGACCGAGGAAGCTGGAGCAGAGACTCAGGATGGTACTCGGAGAAGCATCAGGAAGGAAGACGCGGAAAGGATGCTCAAGCACCGTGTCACCATCATGCTCCAACCCCAGTGACAACTGCAGTGATAGAGCTGAGGGTCTGCAGGTGGAGGGTCCAGATTCCAGGAAACACACAGATGGGCACCCGGAGAGCATGGCACGGTGCCCATGTCCTCTCCCACGACTAAGACAGACGCTGCAGCAGGTGGGTAAATTTCAGAGTAAGTTTACAGGGGCAGATCCCTGACCCTTCATGAAACTCTGAATTTACTCCAAAGCAGCAAAAGGACACACTTAGAAAGAAAAAAACAGGCTGAAAGATCGAAAACAAGAGGGAGAGGAAGGGCCCTTCACGGTGGCCCCAGTCTGGGTTGCGTGCCAGGGTTCTGGGTAGGACAGAGCTGCTGTCCCCTGGGGCAGTCCTGGCGCCTGGCCTGGGTCCCACGCTGCCTGTCCCTCCTACCCTTCCTCATCCCTGCCCCTTGTGGCCTCTCTGATATGCCAGGGTGTCACATATCCATCCCTCTCGGTCACTTTCCTAATTACTGCTTGTACTGAAACTGCCCTGCTGACAAGGGTCAGGCACTCTGGGGACAAGATAAAAGACCAGCAACATGGGACTCCCTTCCCGGTCCCCCAGGGAGTCCCACTTTATCTGCTCTGTGGAAGGCGACGGCCTTTGATGGGAATGAGTGAGGCCCTTCTCTGCCAGGAGAGGAGGCAGTGAAGAGCCCTCATGGAGATGTCCCGTCCTTCACTGCCCAGAGGAAAGTACGGTGACAGGGCAGCTAATGCTTGACCCTGAAATTAGCTCCTGCATCACTCCCAGAGGGAGAAAGAGATTGGCGACAGCAGAGCACGCCTGATGAGGAGGGCGGGAGACCAGCCACTGGCCTGGGAGCCCCCTTCCAACGGGCAGGAGGGCCGGAGCGACGGTACAGCCAGCAGGACGTTTGCCCTGCACACGGCTGAGCGGGTTCAATCCCCGACACCACATATGGTCCCCCGAGCCCTGCCAGGAGTAATCCCTGAGCACAGAGCCAGGAGGAATCCCTGAGCACCACCAGGTATGCACCCTCCTCCAAACCCAACAGCAGGGGATGCTCAGCGTCCCCCTGCCCCCCACTACCCCCTCCTAGCGGGCACCCCCGAGCACTCACGGCAGAAGTCGTAGGTCCTCCAGGGGCCCACCTCCACATCGGCGTTCTTGCAGGCACCGGCGTAGCGGGCCACGGAGTCGCAGAGCTCCGACTCGTTGCCTCCGCTCTGGCACAGGCGGAAGAGGCAGGTGCGGTAGTAGGCGGTGACATTGACCACGCCGTGGCAGTCCAGGAAGGAGCTGTTGGAGGGGTCGTTGATGACGCCGCAGCGGGCACGGCTGCGGTAGAACTTGAGCAGCTCCGAGTCGTTGCCGCAGGCCTTGAGCAGGTCTCCGCACTCGCCGTTGCAGATCTCCTCGAACGTGGCCCAGCCCTCCAGGAAGGCGGCCAGGTTGTCCGTGCACTTGCCGCTGGGCAGGCAGAACTCATCGCTGGCGTTGGCGTTGAAGAAGCCGCACAGGCCGCCCGTGCAGTTGAAGTAGGCGGTGGAGAGGCGGATGGACAGCAGCCCCGTGTCCGAGTACTGCACGGCCAGCAGGCCCCGAGACTCCACGGTGGTGCTGTTCCTGTGGCGGAAGATTTCCAGCCTCCCCGAGGGGTGGAAGAAGGGCAGGTCCACTTCCTGGCCATTCACCTGGAGGAAAGCAAAGCAAAGTGGACTCCACTGCCGCCCCGACGCCCCGCCGACCCCAGGCTGCGGGATGCAGCATGGTTCTGCCTTGTCACTGCAGCTCCTTAAGAGTGGTCGGGGACCCAGTAGACTGGCTGCCACACCCAAAATTTTCCTCTGGGCGCCATCTTAGTGCACCAACAGCCCTGGCCCAGAGACGCCCATTTGAATCCCAAAATGGATTAGTGTCAGACAAAGATGTCTCTGGAACCCAACCATCTACAATCTAGAAATTCATATTTACATTCATGGCCATGCAAGCTCCCATGATATTCAAAATGAGAAATGAAAAATAAACTATCTAGCATCTGCCCCTGGCAGGTAGGCTTGAACGGTGGTGGGGAATTTTGAGCAAAACATAATGCCAAAAATGAGAGAGAGAGAGAGAGAGAGAGAGAGAGAGAGAGAGAGAGAGAGAGAGAGAGAGAACTGAGGAAATTGTTTGCCATGGAGGCAGGATGAGGAGTGGGATGTGGGTGGTGGAAAATGTGCACTGGTGGAGGGATGCGTGTTCCATCACTGTAGGGTTGAATCTCAAACATGAAAGCTTTGTAAATCTATCTCACGGTGATACAGTTAAAAAAAAAAAAAAGCATTGTGGAGTTCATGCCCAATTCAATCAGCTTAATCAATGGCTGAACAAAGAGCAGTACTCCTACATTATTAAAATATATATATATACATACATACATATATGTGTGTATTAATTACAGTGCTATGGAGTGATTATTTGTAAAAATTATTTACAAAAATGAAAAGAACATCTCTCTACAGCCTGTGGTATCTGTATGTTTCAGGAAATCTGACTGCATTAAAGTGTTCTGAGCGGTCAAATACAAAAAAAGCTTCACGAGTTGCCCCCCACAAGCGGCTCTCCAGCACGGCCATGGCTCCAGAGGCACAAGGACTTAATGCAGAACCCGGCAGCTTGCAGCAGAAAAGTGAATGGACCGTGCATTAATCCAAGGTAGCATGCCTGTCTGGGAGGGAAGGGGTGTCACTCCCTTCCGCCTGTTTCCCCCTGGGCAACAAGACGGCGGCTGCTTCGGAGCTTTTTGGAAAGCCAGGTATGAGCCAGAGGTGACGGGGCAACTGAAACCTCATGGGAAGGGGGGCATTCCTGGCTTGTCCTACACGCCCTACCAAGGTCACGAGTTGCCCCCCCATGAGCAGCTCTCCGGCATGGCCATGGCTCCAGAGCCACAGAAACCAATCTCGTAATTATCTGGCTATTGGCAGAAATACTTCCAGGCTTAATAAGTAAAATATCAGAAATCATATGGTTCTCATAACCAGCTGTAGAAAACAAATTATTTCACAATACCTTTTCAGCAGTTCTGATGTTGGGTGTAAACTTTAAACAATAATGGTGCATCTTTTGTCGAAATAATGAACGTAATCAAAGTAGATAGAGTGTTAAGTAGAATTCCTCTGCCTCACAGGCATTGGGAGGGGTGGGAGGGAGGTACATTAGGGTTCTTGGTGGTGAAAAATAAGTACTGGTGAAGGGAAATGTGTTTGATCATTGCATGACCGAGACTTAAACCTGCAAGCTTTGTAACTTCTCCCACAGTGATTCAATAAATAAATGTTAAAAAAAAGAGAGAGAGGAGCTGGCATGATACCCTACAGAGGGTAAGGCATTTGCCTTACACGCGGCCGACCTGGGTTCAATTCCCAGCATCCCATATGGTCCCCTGAGCACCTCCAGGAGTAACCCCTAAATATCTCCAGGTGTGACCCAAAAAGGTAAGGTAAAGGTAAAGGCCCTCCCGTTGATCGTCGATTTACTCGAGCGGGCCCAGTAACGTCTCCATTGGAGACTTTGTTGTTACTGTGTCTGGCATATCGAATACTCTCGGTAGCTTGCGGGGCTCTCCGAGAGGGGCGGAGGAGTCAAACTCGGGTCGGCCATGTTGGCCGCTTGTAGGGCGAATGCCCGACCGCTGTGCTACCACTCCAGCCCTAAAAAGAAAAAAAAAAGAGGAAGAGTGGGGGATGGCATGTATGCAGCCAATCTTCTCCAGGTGTCTCTCTGCAGGCTCCCCTGCATGGCACATGCTCCCTGCGGTGTGGGAGGGCTCAATGCGGAAACGTGAGCAAGCAGTGTCCCCGGCCCAGGCCTCTCCATCCCGGCCACATCCCTCTTCCTGTCCCTCTCACATCCTCCTTTCCTTCACCTCCTGCTTCCCTGGGTCCCAGCCCCCCGGGGCCTGCAGCGGGTCTCACTGCACAGTTTTCAGCCCACTAAGCTCCCCCTTTTCCTAACGAGCCAATCTCTGCCGAGAGATGGTGTCTGGCTGTGTCATCCTGTCCCCTGCCCACATCCCAGTCTGCTGGGACATGCCCGTGAGACTGGGAGCAGGCAGGAGGTGCCCCTGGTGTCACCCCACAGAGTCTCTCCACTAAGGGTAGGCCTGGGTTAGGGCTGTGTGTCCCCCCCTCTGTGAGGGCCTCCATTTCCAGCCACAATGTGATGATGGGAGCCTCACAAGGTGAGAAGTTTTCGTGAGCTTGTGCCTGGCACGGAGCTGAGTGCCTGCAGTTACTGAGAGCCAGTGCCGCCCTACTGAAGGGAGGATTCCAGTGGCACCCTCCCCCCCTTTTTTTTCTGCTTTTTGAGTCACACCCAGTGATGCTCAGGGGTTACTCCTGGCTCACACACTCAGGAATTGCGCCTGGTGGTGCTTGGGGGACCATATGGGATGCTGGGAATCGAATCTGGGTTGGCCGCGTGCAAAGCAAACGCCCCACCCATTGTGCTATCGCTCCAGCCCCACCTTCCCCCTTCTTATCTGGAGCAGGGAATGCTCCCAAGTGCTCCCCTCACGGCCTCACGGACAGAGGCAGAAAGGCCTCTGGGAAGACTGAAGCTCCAGGCTTTACCCCACAGGGGGTCCACTGGCGACATCTTACCTTGACCTCCAAGGCCCCAAAGCCTCCGACCTTGACCTCCTGGTCGGCCACGAGGATGCGGAGCCCACGCAGCCAGCCGGGCCCGGCATCCGGCTTCTTCTTGCTGATGTCAATCTCCAGGTAGTCGGGGTGCTGGGGGCAGGTGCGCAGGAGGGTGTAGGAGACGTCGGCAGGGAAGGCGTAGGCGGCACCATCAAAGGTGTGCAGCACCTGCAGCTGGCTGAGCAGGCAGGCCGTGTCGCGGCGCGGGAAGCAGCCCTGGTAGCCGTCCTCCACGGCGCACACCTCGCCCGCGCGGCACGTCTTGTTGAAGCAGTACACGTCGCCGCCCTCCTCGCACAGGCACTGCACCGTGCAGTTGGCCGTGGCCCAGAAGAACTCGCCCAGGGCGTGGTAGTGGCCGTCGAAGTCGCAGCCGCACTGGTACAGGGGCACGCACTGCCCGGCGCTGAGCACGAAGCCGTCGTTGCAGGCGCAGCCCTCCGTGCAGGGCGCCGCGCAGTTCTGCGAGGCCGTGAGGTCCGAGCAGGTGTCGGGGCAGCTGCTGGTGCACACGGAGTAGTGGCTGAAGCTCGGGCACTGCACCGTGGACACTGGTGGGTGAGAGAGTGGGCACAGGGTGGTCAGGGGTGCAGGACCCACCAAGAGTATCTGCCCATCCCTACCAGTGGGTGCCAAGTGGCCGAATCCCGGGGGGGGGGGGGGGGGGGGGGGTTGACCGCCTTCACTGACATGGGGGCTTCGGCCATCAGGGGGCGCTGTGCCTTGCGTTGCGTGGGAGGCACCATTGGCTATGCAGCCCACCTCCTCTGCATCTCCATGCACGGGAAGTGGAGGCTGGCAGGGGGGCACCGTGTGGCACACAGGAGGAGCAGAGACCAGAAGCTGACCACATTGTCATGTGAACTAAGCAAGCCGGGCTGGGCCGACTTCAGGCCTGCCCCAGCAGCGATCACGTGGGGATCTCCAAATGTCAAGTGGTCTTAAGATTCCAACTCAGGACTCACCTACCCTTTGATCAGGCGGGAAGGAGCAGGCCCTTCCTTGGGGCCACACCCAGTAGAGCTCAGGGGCTTCTCCTGGTTCTGCACTCAGTGGGGCTTCCGGGGACCACAGGGGATGCCGGGGATCCATCCTGACACCCCCGTGCAAGGCAAACGCCCTCCCTGGTGCACTATTGCTCCGGCCCTGCATGGCCCATTCTTTTTTTTTTCTTTTTGGGTCACACCCGGCGATGTTCAGGGGTTACTCCTGGTTCATGCACTCAGGAACTACTCCTGGCCGTGCTCAGGGGACCATATGGGATGCTGGGGATCGAACCAGGGTTGGGCTGCGTGCAAGGCAAATGCCCTACCTGCTGTGCTATCACTCCAGCCCCTGCATGGCCCATTCTTGAGACAATTCAACGTGAAGAAAAAAAGCAAGGCAAAGCAACCAATTGCGGGGCTGATTGACACATCCCCGAGGGAGGAAGCTGAAGATGAGAGGTGAGTAGAAGAGACATGCAGGTGAAAGGGGCCAGCCCCTTTGTCCAGGAGATCGCGGGGGACTTCAGCAGACTCCAGGAGCCCTGAGGTGCTGACTTCTGGGCCATCTGAGTGTGCAGAAACGTTAGTGTCTTCTGGGATCCAACAGGTGGGCCCAAGGGCCTAGCAAACCAGTTCCCTGAATTACAGTCGCACCACCGAAAGGGGGGAAGGGGAGCGAAACAGGTAGGTGGGGGGTGGAGAGAGAGGACAGCAGGGGAGGGCACTTGCCTTGCATGCTGCTGACTTGGGTTTGATCCCTGGGACCCCATAGACTTTCCTGAACACTGCCAGGATTGATCGCTGAGTGCAGAGCAGGGATCAGCCCCAAAGACCGCCAGGTATAGTACCTTTCACCCCCCAAAAGGAAAGAAAACGGAGGCAGCAGAGGCCCCCTATGAAGAAATGCTACAGGCACACACTAAGGTGTGTCCCTTGGGCTCAGGGAGGTCGCCAGAAAAGGACAGTGGGACCAGGGTTTGCTTGCTCTGGACACAGCAGAGGCTGGTGAGTGACATCATTTCCCCCTTAATTTACAAAGTTTCTCGCTCTTGGCCTGGTTCTTGAAGCCACAGGCAGGGATGGTGTGTCTGCATGATGGGCTGTTGGTGGGTGTCTGGGATATGAGGAGGCTAGTCTCACGAACCGGGTAGAAGCCTCTCCTGCACCAGCTCCATTGTCTCCTCCTGCCCCAGCGGCCCGTGGGTCAAGCTCCCGCCAGCGCGGCTCCAGAAAACTGGGCACCAGGAAGAATCGAGACTCGGAGGAGCGATCTGGGGTCTGTCTGGTTTGAGAAGGTCACCCAACCACGCTGACGCCAGTGAGGCAGAAGAGGAACCCCATGGAGGCTTTGCCTGTGAAAGGGGTCTCTCTGTCTCTCTCTGTTTCTCTCTCTGTTTCTCTCTCTGTTTCTCTGTCTCTCTCTCTGTTTCTCTCTCTGTTTCTCTCTCTGTTTCTCTGTTTCTCTCTCTGTTTCTCTCTCTGTTTCTCTCTCTCTCTCTCTCTCTCTCTCCCCCCCCCCGGGGCTCTACTTCCTACCAGCAGAGGGTCTGACACCCCCAAAGCAAGACGCAAAGAGCTAAAGGGCCCGAAAGCAGAGAGACCCGAAGGGGTGAGAGGTCCTCCCAGACTTGCTCCCTTGGCTGGGTGGGTCTGCAACTGTCCCCTCTGTTTTGCAGTACCCCGCTGTGGGCACCTCAAGTGCCCAGGCCGTTTCTGCTTGGGTGGATTTATTTTCTGAGTAGTCTGGGGACAGGGAGAAGCAGACGGACCATGGATCCTTTCCTGCACGTAACGGGGGAGGAGGGGCCGGAGCGATAGCACAGTGGGTAGGGCATTTGCCACATGGCCGACCCAGGTTCGATCCCTGGCATCCCATAGGGTCTCCTGAGCACCACCAAGAGTAATTCCTGAGTGCAGAGCCAGGAGTAACCCCTGAGAACTGCCAGGTGTGACCCAAAAAGGGAAAAAAAGGGCGGAGGAGGAGTGGTCTTTGTCTAAAGCAGGGGGCCCGTGGGTGCCCGAGCCTGTCCCGCTTACCACATCCTGTCTGGCTCCTCCAGTCCCCGATGGGGATGCCCAGGGCCTGGCAGAGCAGCGCGTAGGCCTGGATGGCCTGGCACAACAGGGTGCCATTGTCACGCACGCTGCACAGGTCATACACACAGCTGTGCAGGAAGGCCGTGGGGTCCACCACGGAGCCGCACTCGCCCAGCGGGCTGTCGCTCCGGTTGAGGAAGCCGCAGTAGTCCGGGCCCCAGAAGAGCGCCTCGGTAGCCGCGTCGCACTGGGTGCAGTTGTCCACGCAGCCCGAGCTGCACTGCCAGTCGGCGTGGTACACCCGCCAGCTCTCGCCCAGGTCCAGCACGGACATGGCCGGTCGGCCGTCGGGCCGCAGGAAGTCGTCCAGAGGGTTCTTGTTGTAGTTGCCGCAGAGCCCGCATGTGGAGTTGAGGTAGGAGCCGGGCACGGAGATGGAGGCGTAGTGCTGCCCGTCGAACGTCACCAGGAGCCCGAAGTCCGTCTCCACGGCAGTGGCCATGCCGCTCTGGTAGATCTTCACTGCCCCCAGGTCTAAGGTGACAGGCAAAGAGGTCACCAGGTCGTTGACCTGCCAACGACAGGCAGAGTGCGGGGTGTGAGCGGGTGCCGAGACCACGGGCTCGGCGCAGGTCAAGGAGCGGCAAAGTGGGGGCCAGAGCGACGGGACAGTGGGGAGGGCACTTGCACTGTGCACAGACAGGTGAGCCACCCCATGTGGCTTCCCTGAACACTGCCAGGAGTGATCCCTGAGTATATCCAAGTGTGCCCCCTCCACATCCCCACCCCACCCCCAAAAAAAAACACAGAACAAAGCAACTCAGGCCCCAGAGAGTTTCTCCCCAGAAGTGCAGTCTCCGGAACCAGCTGCCTCCTGAGGCAGAGGCCTGGGAGACCCCCAGCAGGCCGGCTGAGCCTGCAGGTGCCTTGCGTTTAAGCCCTGATGAACGGCCCCCCTGGCATCAGCTCAAACTCCAGGGACCCATGGCTTCGCCACTTCCTGGCAGGCTGCAGGTCTTTTCTCAAAGGACCATACCCCCATCTTTCCGCCTCAGCCCTCTCACCCAACCCTCTGGCTTCAATCGGCTGCAGACATTCCACAGACCATCACTGCCCTGGCCCCGCTGAAGCTGGTGCTGACACCTGCTCTTCCCGGCACAGCTTCAGGGCTGCTCCCAAAGGCCCCTCTGTCCACTGTCCACCCCCAGCCCTGGGGCACGCAATCGTTCAACCTCCACGAGGCAGGACACGGCTTGGGCCCGGGCAGGCGGCTGGCCTGTTTGGTGTTGAGAAATGAGGAACAACATCGAGGGCCTTGTCCTTTGGGGTACCCGGGTCCTCGATGAGGCAGCATGGCAAAGATTGTCGGGGTGTGCACCATTGAAGGGCAGTGGGGAGTGGCCAGGAGCTGCCCCCAGCCCTGAGGAGATCTCGCGGAGGAGGAAACATTCTTAGAAGCAATGAAGTGCCGCCTGGCTCGCCGAGAATGAGCAGAGAAATTGGGGGGAAGAGCTGGTGCCAAGCCTCGGGCCAAGAACTAAGGTGGGGTCATCAGACACAGGACAGTCGGCAGACAGGAACGGGAGAGAGACAGGTGGCCAGAGGCAAAACTGGGGACCCAGTGATACCCATGTCATCCTCCCGTGTCAGAGGTCGTTTTGTCTCTGGGAATCTGAGACACTGCAGGGCTGAGAAACACCTGCCCACGGAGAACCAGCACTAGAGAGAAAAACACGAGGCTAGGGTGCATTCCTCTCTCTCCCAGGTGGAAGGCTGGGAGCCAGGGATGAGAAAAGCCGGACAGGAAGGGAAGGCCGGAAGTGGGCGGGGATGGTCTGTGCTGATCTGGGCTGTGATGCAGAGGGCGCCCAGGGCTGATGGTCTGCAGATGCCAAACCATCCTCTGCCAAAAGGGCTCCTCTGGCCTCTCCTGAGCGCCCGCTGGGCCCTGCTGGCCTCTCCAGGGCCTCAAGCAGGCGCCACAGGGTCGATGGCTCTGGCTGTTGCTGCCACCACGTCCTGGTTTTCTGCATGAGGCCTGCCTTGGCCAGGCTGGCTTCAGGCCCTGGGTGGCCACAGGCCTCTCCCAGCTCCCAAATCCTCTCTGCATCAGGCTCTCTGAGACCCTCTCAGGCGACAGGCATCCAGCCACTCACTCTTTATTTCCAAAGTGCCCGGGGATGGGGTCAGAGCAAGAGCACCGCAGGGAGGTGCTTGTCCTGGGTGTCCCAATCCCCTGAGTGGCCAGGGGTGATCCCTGAGTGCAGGAGTAAGCCCTGAACCCAGCAGGATTTGCCCCTAAACAGACACCACCACAGTGCCAAGGGGAGGAGCTCAGGGAGCACCTAGGGTATCCCTCCTCCCATCCTGGACCTCCCTGCCTGTGCAGTCCTCGCTGGACCAATCTCCCCTCTGTGCTGTCTCTTCTCCTGTCTGGACCCTTGGCAGCATCTCCCTGGGCTGTGAGGGGAGCACCTTTGGGAGAGGGGCAGAAACAAGCCCAGGACTCGGGGCAGGCATCACTGCTGGGGGGTGCTCTGTGTGTGTGTGTGTGTGTGTGTGTGTGTGTGTGTGTGTGTGTGTGTTGGGGGAGTTGGGCAGGGGTACGCCAGGATGCCAGCTTTATACCCGACTCGCATGTGTGGGCATCTGATCTAAAAGCTTCATGTTCTCCTGTCAGGGGCCCTCTCACCTTCCCCTTTTGCAGATGGGGAAACTGAGGCTTAGGACTTGCCCCACACGGAGCTGTCAGGGTCTGACTGGCTTCCAACATCATCCTCTCTCTTTCCCCTCCTGCCTCCAGGTTGCTCAGAGGCAGCCGGGCGTGACTCACACCTCCAAATGCCAGCCTTTCGCGTGGTTTGTCCCCCTTCTGCAGACGGGGAAGACCAAGCCTCAGGGGGCACTGCTAAGGGCCAAGCACGAACCCCAGCCCAGGCTCCTTCATCATCAGGTATGCTGGCCTTTCCTACACACCCGAAAGGGCATGGGTGTGTTGGGGAGGAGGAGGTGGGTGTTCAGTCCTTGTGGCTTTCTCTGGCCCGATCCACCCAGCCTCAGATTGTCTAGTTTGGTCCTGGGGAACAGCTCCAAGAGGGAGACCCCACGCATGAGCCCGCCATCGCTCGAGAAGCTGCAGACGGGTCTCAGCCCGTGTGGCCTTCCGGGACTCCCCACCCCCCCTCCTTCCTACTCCGCTTCCTGCTGGTCCCCAGTTCACTCTGGGTGGGGGCTCTGCTGCCCACAGGGACCCCTGCCCCTCACCCCCAGTCCAGGAGGTGGGATTCACACACACTTAAGAAGCCATTTAGCAGGAGGGTAAAGGAAGCCGCCATCCGCATGCAGCTGGAGTCACGTGACCCTTTCTTTTGGAAACATTTACATTCACGTCCACGTGCCCTGTCACTACAGAAAATTGAAGATTCCACGCCCCTCATGCCTGGCCCCAAAGCAACGGCAGCACTCCGTTCTCCTTGTATCAAAAAAAAAAAAGAAAAAAAAAGAAACAAAAACAAACCAGGGGGCGGAGGGTGTCTGGCTCTGAGCAAAATAAAAAAAGTTTTAATCAACATGGAAAACAGGAAGAAAGCCTGGAGCTTTCTTTTCAACGGCAGACGCGCCATCCCCACGGCACACAGCGTGGGGGGAGGCCAGCAAATGTTTTCCGAACTGGAAATGCCAGCATCGGTGTACGCCTCCCCCTGATTGGCTGCAGAGCCTCCCCTGGAGAGACTAACCAAATAACAAGGAAACTGCCTCTCACCCACAGTCATAGCTCACATCCCTAATTATGGCTCTGACAAGCTGCACAGGCCCAGGAACGGCAGGGCCAGAAGAAGTGGACTCCGCTTCGTGGCCTGCCTTCCGTGGGAAGGGCCGCCTCAATTAAAACTCCAACACGGACCTTAGAACAGAGACAGACCCTGCCGCGGCCCGGTTCTGCTTTGTGATCTCGGTAATGACCTCGGCAGAGTGGGTTAAGGACGGCCTGGGGTTTCAGACACTCCACCCCTCCTGCGTGAAGGAAGTGGGCTGCACCGAGGCCTTCTCTGACGTTGAGAAGCCGGGGTCCCGGCCGAACAAGGAACTGCGAATGCCTCTTTCTCCTCTGCTCTCAGCCTCTGCCTGACTCCGGGGGACAGTGACGAGAACCGTTTGCATCTGCTCCCTGTTCTCTCTCATCCAGGCCCCCAACCCAGGTGTCATGAAAGAAACCATCATGGCCAGGGCGATAGTACAGCAGGTAGGGAGTTTGCCTTGCACGCAGCCGACCCGGGTTCAATCCCTGGCATCCCATATGGTCCCCCGAGCACCACCAGGAGTAATTCCCGAGTGCAGAGTCAGGAAGAACCCCTGAGCATCGCTGGGTGCGACCCAAAAAGGAAATTAAAAAAAAAGAAAAGAAACCACCAAGATTGAGCCTTCCCTGGCATCTTCAACATTGTATTTGTGTGTGGGGTTGGGGAAAGGGGTACAGGGATGCGGGCTGGGGTGGTCTCTGGGGATGACAAGCCACACTTAGGCCAACAGCGCAGAGTGGGGAGCGAGAACTGTCAGTCACAGGCCAGCCTGAAAATGGGGTTGTGCCCTGCACCCCATCTCAAGATCACTGCCAGCAGGTCTGTGAGAGACAGAACTCGGCCCCCCATGCAGTGACTCCATGGTCTGGGTACCCGCAGGGCTGTGAGCGTGAGTGTGGGTTGATGGTGTCCATGTAAGTGACTTCACACTACATTGCAGACAGACAGACAGACAGACAGAGAGCCTCTGGGACAAGGACAGCAGCTGGGTGAGGACAACTTCCGAGCCCTGTGTGCAGGGCAGGGCGGGCCCCGGAGTGGGAGGTCGGGGCTGGCGGCTGAGGGGCCTCACCTTGACTTTCCCGTAGCTGCCTTTGGGGATGAGGATCTTGTAGCCGTTCACCTCCACCGAGAGCTCCTTCACCCAGGACACGGCCGAGCCCCCACGGTGCTCGTTCTTGGCCTCCACGCTGAAGAAGGGCAGGCTGGAGGCGTGCAGGCACTGGCGGGCCAGCAGGTAGGCGCAGGAGCCTTGGAAGTGGAAGAGGAAGCCGTCGAAGGTGTGGTAGTGCGGCTCGCCGAACACCACGCACGTGCTGGTCTCCAGGGCGCTGCAGGCGAAGAGGCGGCCCCTGGGCTCGCACAGCTCGTAGGGGCCACAGGCCGCCTCCTGGCAGTAGATCTCATTGTTGAAGTCCAGGCAGCGGCACTTGATGGTGCAGTTCAGGTCTTCCCAGAACACCTCTCCTCGCCGCAGGAACTGTCCTGGGGACAAGGATGGCGGAACAGGTATGATGAGAGCCCCCCCCACCCCCCCCCCCCCGTCGGGGCCCAGCCTGGGGCTGATTATGGGAACCCCCCCACCCTTTCCTTCCACCCACACAAGAGCCATGGGAGACTCGGTGCCCTCCTTTGGCACACAAGGAATCTGAGGCTGACACAGTCCCCGTCTCCACACTGGGGGCACCTGCCCCCACCAGCAGGGAGAGACTCAGAGGGCAGGGGAGGCTCGCCACAACTCAGGGCCCAGGAAGAAGCTTCAGAAGGACCCCTGGGCCAGGCCACCCAATGATCCAGTTGGTCCCTTTGTTCTCCGTGGATTCTCAGGAGATCCATCCTGCCCACAGGCCAGTTGTTCAAGGCAGGAGCCCATGAATGTGGTATGGCCTGTGGTGCTAGGGATGACCCAGGGCCCTCTTTGATGCTTTGAGGTCCCCAGGGTCATACCCAGGGCTGAGGGCTTCCAGAGCTGCACCCAGCAATTTGGGAGGGGCCACATGGTGCCAGGGGCCAACCGGGGTGGAGCCATGTCAGGCAAACACCAGAACCCCTGTACAGTCTCTCCAGACACACACACACACACACACACACAGACACACACGCGCGTGCGTGTGTGCGTGCGCGCGCGTGCAAGCTCCTTCAACAAGCATTGGCTGGGCTTAGTATGCTCCAGAAAAGAACGAATCAGGACCCAGGGCCCCCTGTGACGCTTTGGGGTCTCCAGGGTCACACCCAGTGCTGAGAGTTTCCAGAGCTGAACCCAGGAAATTGGGAGGGGCCTCACGGTCCCAGTGGCCAACCAGGGTGGAGCCACATCAGGCAAACACCAGAACCCCTGTACGGTCTCTCCAGTCACACACATACACACACACACACACACACACACACACACACACTCCTTCAACAAGCACTGGCTAGGCTCAGTATGCTCCAGAAAAGAACTAATCAGGTGGCAGACACACAGTGCTCAATCCCAAGTTCCCAGGGAGAGTCTGGGAGGCTGACCTCAGCTTTAGTCCCAGGAAAGGCTCTTAGAGCCCATAGAGCCTGACCAGGCTTCTCACATGGACACCGGGCAGTGCTCACACTCCAGGCCCACATCCTCGGGCCCAGATATAGATCAGCTGGACCAGGTGGTGGAGAATGGCCAATGAGGTTCCTGGGCCTCCTGGGATCCATGTAGAAACCCCCAACACACACATAAACACACTCAAACACACACATAAACACATACAAATACACAAACACACATGCAAGCACACACGCGCACACACACACACACAACAACACACAGACACACACATAAAATACTCAAACACACAAATACACACGGACACATATATAAACATACTCAAACACACAAATACACACACACAAGCATACGCACAGACACACATATAAACATATTCAAACACAGACACACTCAAACACCCACACAGATAACTTAAACTTTTCCCATAACAAATCCCGTTGGTCCCCTCTCCCCAAAGAGCTGCGTAATTTTCCAGTTATTAACATCGACCCTTCCACGGAAATAGCATGTCTGAGACACGGGCTATGAAGGTCAAGGTCACGAAAACCAGCTCCAAACCACCCAACTCTACTGACAAGTCCCCCGCATCTTGGTTCCCTACGTGGTAGACCGTGGACCACACTATCGCCCGAGCCTGCCTTGGGGGAGACGGGGACACTGCAAAATGCCAGCGCGTGTTTTCAGAGGTGGAAGTGTCTGTAAATTGGGGACGTCAGATAAGGAAAATAGCAAAGGGGCAGAAATGTAAATAGTGGCATGACCCAGGAATAACTCACTGGAACCGGGTCTGTGTTTACACAACTGACTTCCGTCCAGCAGTGAGCAGAAGGCAGGATGTCTGGATGACAGGGCCCCAGGACTGGCCACCAGAATGATAACAACTCCACAGACGGTTGTGGGCTTCACCTGTTTAAGAGGCTCAAAGGTGGATCAAAGATTCATCCACATTCCCACTCATTCATATGCAACAGCCCTTCAAAGACGCACCCCCTCCCAGCCAGCCCCGTGCCCTGCGCCAGCCCAGGGCTGCCACACTGTATAATTTCTCCTTCCTGCTTGCTCAGGATGCAACGAAAGAGAGGAAAATGTCTTTGAAAAGAGGAGGCCTGCAGCAAAAGACACACGGAGGTGATTTTGCTTGCAAAACACTGATTATAATAAGCCAGCTCTCTGTAACCAGCCATCACCAGGCCAGAGCCCTCTCCTTAGATTGATGGCTGACCCGCCCCACACCCAAATGCACAGAGGTTTTGGGAGGAAGACGCTGGCTCTGCCCTGCCTAAGAGATTCATAACTCAGGAGAACAGTGAAGTCAGAATGGAGACGCATGCTGGCCCAGAAGGCTGTCCGTGTCCGGGCTTTCATCTTCAGAACCTGGGCTAGAGGCTGTTGCTGAGCCCTTGGTAATATATGATGGAGGGAGAGGGGCGGTGGGTCGTGTGTACGCATGTGTGTGCACGTGTGCGTGTATGTGTATGCGTGTGTATGCATGTGTGTGCATGTGCGCGCGCGCGCGCGTGCGTGTGTGTGTGCACGCGTGTTCTATGCAGGTCACCCACGGGAGGGGCTTCGCTCTCCTCCCCTGGCTTTTAGTGATGCTGCCTTTCAGCAGTCTCCGAACCTGTGTGTTCTGCCACTGGGCCCTTCCCCAGAAGCCGGGAAACGCTTGCTCTTCTGGTCACGGCAGACTGCCTGAGCCCATGGGCTGGCTGCCTTCACAATGACCTTTCCGTAGGGCAAAGGTGCTTTGGATCTGCCTGACCCAGAGCAAGGGGTGGGGTGCAGATGGGGCTGTGGCATCTCCAATCAGGGGAATGTGACATTTTCCTCTGTGACATGAACTAAAACTGAGTCAGCAGAGAAACTGGAAGGCTTCCAGGGCGGCTGAGGCACGGTGGCCACCGGGTGGGGCTCTCCCTGCCGGGGAGAGCAAGAGGCCTTTGGAATCTCTTGTCCCAACCCCAAACTTCCTTATGCATCTGGAACTATTTCCCTAGGGCCCTCCTTTGTGCTTCCAGAGCCCTGGATTCAGGTCCCTCACTTCCGTCTCCACGGCCACACAGGGGGCAGGCCCGGGCCCCAGCCTCAGAACTGCCCAGAGTGGCCGGACTCGGGGTTCTCAGGCTGGCGGCTGGCCACGGAGAGATAGATAAACATGGATGGACTGGTGGTTGGTTGGTTGGTTGGGTGGGTGGGCAAACGGGAAGGTGGGGTATATGTAGGATGAATGAATAGTCAGGAGATAGGCTGGGAAGGTAGGTGAGTGAATGGATAGGTAGTTGGACGGGTGTATGGCTGGATGGGTGGGTGGGTGTGGGGGTAGATGAGTGGCATGGTTGGACAGGTGCATGGCTGGGTGGGTAAGTGGGTGGCAAGGGAGAGATGAGTGGCAAGGTGGTTGGACAGGTGCATGGCTGGCTGGCTGGTTGGGTGGGTGGCTAGGGAGAGATGAACGGAAGAATCTGTAATTCTAGCTGTGACCACTTGCATTCCAGGAATCAGAAAACCCTCCCCACCCCCACACCCCACCTCCCCCCTGAGTACTTTTAGACACATAAGAAGCAGGTTCCCATGAGTCCTGGGACGTTTTGCACATCCAAAGCGGTTCCAAACTTTGAAGGAACTCCAGGGAGATTCCTTCCACACAGCTCACTGATGCCGGCCCGAAGCCGGCTTTGATTTGCCCCAGAGTCCTGTGGGCTTTGCAGCTGCAGGGAGGGTTTTTGGAGCCGCGGCCCCCAGAGGATGCCTCCTGTTGCCGCCTCCTTTCTGATCTTCCCAGGAAGCACTCATTTACGCGCAGCGAGACCTGGCAAGGCTCCCAGCTCGCCCACTCCCGCGAACCTACCAAGTGCCGATGGCAGAGCGGGAGGGGAGGGGAGAAGAGGGATGCAGCGGGGAGGGACCGGCAAGAGCCAACGCGGGGTTCGACAGGAGGGCTCCCTTCCCTCCCCCCTGGCTGGGAAATCACTCAGGAGCCCCGTCCACTTTGGCAGGGAGCTGTGTTCACACCCCCGGCAGGGCCGGGAGCTGCCGCGCCGCCAATGCAGCGTTTCAGCCCCCGGAGTGATGAATGTGCGTGCTAAAATTACCTTGATCTCCATTACCCAGCTGAGAGATGTCAAAGAGGAGCGGCATGAGGAGCGAGTCCGCCCCCGTGGCTTAAAAGCCTGCCTGTCAATCGCGGCAAACCAACGCCGCAAGGGCGCCAGGCACGGCAGCGGCGGAAGCTCTCACCTCGGGAGGTGCAGCCGTTGGCCGGGTCAATTTCCTTCCCGTCAACTTTGAACGCCCAGCGGCCTGGAACGTTGACGTTCGTGGTCTCTTGGATATTCACAATATCGGGGGTCCTCGACCCCGGGAGGCTGAAGAAATTGGTCAGGTTCCCGCCGTTGAATCCTGCCTGGAGCATGGACGAGGGAAGGCTTTGGAGCACATGCACACCACCCCCTCCCCTACTGCATTGTACTTATTTCCCCAGATAGAGCGTCCGGCACGCTGGCCATCCCGCGGCCCCTGCTGCTCACAGGGAGAAACGTCCAGTTCTTGCAAGCCCCGGGGGTGGCAGAGTCAAAGCCGGGCCAGGCCACAAGGGCTGGACGGCTGGTCTCGAGGAAGGGGGGCAGGGAGGGGGGCAGGGTTCCTCCAGGTGTGCCCCCTCCGGACCTCAGAACCCAGCGAGCCTCAGGAGGCCTACCTGAGCCATGACGCCACCCAGCCCTGTCAGGGGGTCGCCCCCGCTCGCTGTCCCCGTGGTCCAGTTGATCTCGTAGTAATTGAAGAGTGTGAAGGTGTAGGAGCCGTCGGACACCAGCACGGCCTGGAAAGTGTTCACCTGCGGGGTGGGAATGGGGGGGCGTGATTCACGTTCCCCAACAGCCACTCCCTTCCCCCACCCCTCCTGTCCTGGGGCTTCCTCTCAGAGCTGGCTGGGGTTGGAGGCGGGGGTGGGGGGGAGATGCAGACCCCCGGTGGGGTCCTGTCTGCAGCCTGGTAGCCCTCCTTTCTCTCCTGCTTGGCCCCACCGAGATGACATGCCAGCACCTATAGGTGGCAGCATGAGAACAGGCTATGGGAAGGCAAGCCGGCAGGGTGCAAGGGAAGGGGTTGGGGGGGTGGGGAGAGGGGCAGGAGCTTCAGGTGGGTGTGGACTGGGCTGGCCTGTGTGCAGGAAACCCCCAGTGTGCGTGAGCTGCTCCCCCTTGGGCTCCACGGAAGCCAGAAAATGCCCACTGACAGGCCCCGAACTGGGAGAGCATTTATACATCACTTTATCTGGGCTCGGCAGCCCAGCAGACCTCAGGGGACTGAGTGTCCTCCCATCCCCAGGGAAACCAAGGGCCTGAGGGTAATGTCCTCCTAGGGGCATGGAGCAAGGGGCCAGCCAGGATGCCCCTCCCCATCTCTCTCAGCAGAACTGTCACTATAGGAGGTTTTAATAATTAATTTTTTTTTTACAGATAGAGATGTTATATAAATTCAAAAGAGTCTTGCCAACTGTTTCCAGAAATAAGCACTCGCAAACTCTCTCCCTTTGCTAATCCCAGCCCATGGATGTGTGTTTTCAGGAAACTGAGTCAAAAGGGCAAGGGTGAGGCCAGCCTCATTCAGACCCTCCCCATCCAGGGCCTGATACCATCCGGTCACACCCTCTGTCTGACTCCGAGGAAGACCCACAGCCTTATCCTGGGGGCATCAAACTGGGCCAGAGGATCCTGGAAGCTCCAAATCTCCCATCATAACCGGCCCGGGGAGCAAGACAAGGCGCGAGGGAAGAAAAGCCCTTTCTGTAACCCAGCCGAGCTTCCAAGCGAGACCTGCGCTCTGGGCCGGCGATGGTGTTTCGGATAGACGGGCCTGGGTGGACGCCTCCAGGGCGCAGGCCTCTGGGGACAAAGGGGGAAAGTGGGGCACAGAGCATGGACGCTGGGTAGCTGCACGCTCTCCATGCGGTCAGGCACTGGCCATGGGCAAGGCCACTAAGAACTAAAACTGCCTCCTGATTGGGATTCTCCTGCCGGAAGTGAGTTTCTCCTATTAGGAGGTGGGAGGCAGGAACAGTCCTGGGAGACCCCCACTTTGACCCAGAAGATACTTTGGGGATAGTCACAGAGCATCCTCAGTCCCTGGGGCTCACGCTAGCTCTTCCCTGCACTGGGACTCCCAACAGGGGCCTTCCTGGGCTCTCCCGGGGTGAGCCAGTCGGGGTCCCGGTCCCTTTACTGCCCATCTCTAGCCTGTTCCCCTCACCATCGCAGAGGCCGGCACTAATGCCCAACATGCCCTCCCGGGCTACAGGACATGCCAAGAGACTGTCCACTGCAGAGCCGGCCCCCCGGGGAAACGCTAGTTCTCATCCTGGGAGGGAGCACCCCTGCCTCTTCTATCAGGGAGTCAGGAAACGCTGCGTCTGAAAGCTTCCTCCACCCCGGCGCCTCATCAGCCCGATGATCTGTGTCCCTCACGGAGAGCCGGGAGAACGGCAGAGAGAAGACGGGCTGACGTGGAAGATGGGGATGGATGGCCCTGTCCATGGCCCTGTCCACGGTGCCGTGCTGGTTTCTCGTCCATCCTCATAGAGGAGTCCTCGCCCCGTCCAGAAATTTACTCCAAAGCACCCACTAGAAACTATCTAAATTATCTTGCCATTTTTATTGCTGATGGAAGTGTTGGGGAGGGGGGAAGGGTGGTCAGCATTTGACGGGCATGTCTCCTCTTCCCCGCCCCCTCCCACTGACACTAACGTTTATTGATGGCCGGCATTCTGCATCCTAACGCTGTAAGGTATGAGGTTTAAGGGACATAAAACATCACCCAAGGAGTCGTTAGCAATCCATAACACGACAGAGGGAAATGTAAGCTACTTTGGAGGTTATTTCGAGCGGGTGCGTCTGCTGCTGAGGCATGTGCCTAGCCGGGCTGCGGACCGCTCAGCAATAAAACGTGGCCTGGTGCTCTGGTCCAGAGGTGCTAAAATACCACGTTCTCCAGCCGCCACGGCAGACTGCAAGCCCAGCACTTTCCACCTCTGGTGTCTGACTTAGCAGTTTCTGTTCCACCCCCCAAGCAGTGGGCTTCTGGCCAAGGAAACTGGGAGACGGTTTGGGAGGGAATCTGGCCCAGAGCAAGCCGAGGGCGGGCTCTGCAGTGTCTTCGCTCACTTTCGAGAAAGTCTGCAGTTGAAGACCGCGGGCCGCTTCCAACAGCTCCCCCGCCCCCCTCGCCCAAGTCACCCAGCGCCGTTCTGGTCCTTTCTGAACAAAGTTCATTATCTACCATAATGCCCGCCATCATCTCTCTTATTTGACTGCCCATTTGGGATTTTCGAGCAGATGTTGAAACTTGATTCATGAAATGCTTAAACTGCCCACTCCAATTAACATCAAATAGGAATAATTCCAGCCCTGACCACAATTAAGAAAAAAAAAAGATTAAAGAAAAAGGTCAGAATGTAATACAATGATTTGGGTTATTGGTGCCCCAAACTGGCCCTCTCTTTCCTCTCCCTACTGGGGTACGTGTCCCCTTGGGGTCCTAAATGGGTCCCTAACTGTGTGGCTGGATCCGAGTCGTCATCACTCCCTGCCAACACAGGAGAGGCCCCTTCCCGACGGTCAGTGCTAAGGATGCCCTTCCAAGGGGACAGCTGTCCGGGCTGGTTCGCTACAATACCTCCCAGTGTGCTGAAAAACGGGCAGCCAGACTAGCTTAACGCAAGGCCACTGGGACCTCTCGGCTCTGACAATCACACTCCTTCACGGTCATGAAGATGGACAGGAAGTGGGTGTCGGGACAGGAAGCGGAAAACCGAACGCGTGGATTATTACGGGTGTGGTGCTGCTCCCGCCATAAAACGTGACTTCCTCCCACGTGACAATGAAAACCCAAGTGGCAGAGAAGGCCGCCATGTCTTTGAAGTACTTCCTGATGTCCTTGGTGGCCCTTTTTAGGATGACGGGGTCCATGGTCTCCCTGTAATAGATCTCGCCTCGGATCCCGTTGTGCACGTCCGCCCAGAACGGGGCGATGAAGGCGCGGCCGTCCGTCAGCGGGAAGGACTCGGGCGTGAACTGGCTCACGAGCACATTGAAGGACACGACGCCGTTGTTGTTGACCTGCGAGAGAGGCAGGTGCCTGAGAGCACAGACCAACACGGATGCATGCTGACGGTGTGGATGGTGGGGGACCCTGCTGAAGCCATCAGCCCCGAGCCCCCCGCCCCACCCCGCCCCATGTCCCACTGCTCAAGGAACGGGTTCATTTCCTTCCAGACAAATTCATTGGTTTTCTTTCACTTCCAATTTGCAGCTAGTATCGTTTCTTATTAATAATGATGCTTTGCTCATTCGTGTATTCTGTGTCCCATCTAGACTTCAACTTATCAAATGCCATTGCGGGGGTGGGGGTGGAGTGTGTGTGTGTGTGTGTGTGTGTGTGTGTGTGTGTGCACGCACGCATGTGCATGCCTGGGGATGAGGGACAGGTGAGGGCTTTGCTGGGTAAAGACAGTCAGAGGCCAAAGAGAAAAGAACAGCCAGAAGAAACCAGCGCTGGAGACTGTGAAAAGTATAAGAATCGAGCTGTTCTCACGGGTGCTGGATTCCCGTGATGCTCTCGCACCCCTCGGTGACATTTTGGTCAGCATCCCTTGTGTCCGACAGTGGTGCCTCTGGCCCCGGTGGGTTACGCGGCAACACCGTCGAGGTTTGTGTAAGAACGCTCTGTGACATTTCTCTGACAAAGAAATTGTGTCCGGCTGTACGTGAGGAGAGTGAAGAGAGAAAAACAGGAAACCCACCCCCCAGGCTGCGGACTCGGGCTGAGCCTGTGCGAGAGCTTCTGGGAGGTCACAGTCCCCCAGCCTGTCCTGGTGGTTTCCCATCTACCTGCCGTCGAGACCCGGGGCCCTGGGCACACCCGTGATGATCGGATGGTGACTCCCCCCAGCCTGGTAAGGGAGTGGCTGCAGCGAGGGGCTGAGTCTGGCATCGGGGGTCTCGAAGCCACTCCACATCTAGCAGCTCGCCAGTCAGTGGGCACCTGCCACTGACCCCATGGCCTCCAGCCTCTGCGTGCACTGTGGTTCTGCGTGTGGGTGGGTGTGGCTGACAGGACCTCGTGGCGCAGGTGGGTTTCTAAAGCAGACAAGACTGTGGTAGGAGGGCTGGAGTGATAACACAGCCGGTAGGGCGTTTGCCTTGCACACAGCCGACCCAGGTTCGATTCCCAGCATCCCATATGGTCCCCTGAGCACTGCCAGGAGTAATTCCTGAGTGCAGATCCAGGAGCAACCCCTGTGTGCATTGCCAGGTGTGACCCAAAAAGCAAAAAAAAAAAAAAAAAAGACTGGTAGAAAGGCCGGCCCTGCCTGACTCGAAGCCCCTGGGGCTCGGCTCCTCCACCCCAGAACAGCGGCTTGTCCTGTGACTGTCAATCGCAACTCTCCTGGACCTTCCCAGCAACCCAGTCGTTATAGGCCAGCAGCAGCCCCAGGCCAGGGCGGTGCCAATCCACTGAAGGCTCAAAAAGGAAGCAAAGGGGCCAGGGGGCCCCAGCTAGGCCGCCACTGTGCGTCTACTGTCTGCAGGGAAGAGGGGAGACCTACAGCCTTGAAACGTGGCACTGCCCCACATCAGACGGTCAGTCTCTGTGAAGACCCCTTGGCTGCAAGGGAAGGTCCCAACTCTTGATGCACAGTGTGGTCTAGGGGACAGAGGAGCTGGTCTGAAGCTATTTGTCCTAGATATCCGGAAGACTAAGGTTTACTGGGGGTGGGGACACACTTTCATCTCCCGAACCAGACTCCGGAAGCTCCGCTGTGAGCAGAGGCTGAAAGCAAGACGGCAGCACACTGTGCTTGGTGGGAAGAAGGGCTCAGGGGAGGGGGCAGCCTGCAGAGGAAGCTGGCCGAGGCTCCCAGGGGTTCCGATTACAGCCAACCGCTCAGAACCGCTGTTCTCAGAGGGCTGTGGGCCTCGGCGCCGTCCATCTTACTGGATCCTCAAAGCTCCTCCCTGGGTTTCTGATTGGGCAGGGCCCCGGAGGGGACATCCAACAGGTGCCCAGGTGACACTGATGCTATGAGTTCAGGGAGCACTGCTTATGCCACCAGAGAAGAAAGTCTTTTCTATGCAGCCAACCCTCAACTCTAAATCCAACGCTAGAGAAGACGGAACAGCAAGAAGCATGGAGGGGTGGGTGGTGTGTGTGTGTGTGTGTGTGTGTGTGTGTGTGTGTGTGTGTGTGTGTGTGTGTGTTGGGGGGAACTCCCTTCTCTCTAGGGCAGGACAGAGTTGGCTGGGAGGGATGTGATGGATGTCAGTGCCAGCCAGGCCACTTTGGTTATGGACCTTCTCATCAGGCACAACCGCGATCTAAGAAACGATCCAGTGGGGGCTGGAGCGATAGCACAGCGGGTAGGGTGTTTGCCTTGCACGCAGCCTACCCGGGTTCGATTCCCAGCATCCCATATGGTCCCCTGAGCACCACCAGGAGTAATTCCTGAGTGCAGAGTCAGGAGTAACCCCTGTGCGTCACTGGGTGTGACCCAAAAAGCTGGAGCGATAGCACAGCGGGTAGGGCGTCTGCCTTGCACGCAGCCAGCATGGCCGACCCGAGTTCGATTCCTCCGCCCCTCTCGGAGAGCCCAGCAAGCTACCGAGAGTATTCGATATGCCAGACACAGTAACAACAAAGTCTCCAATGGAGACGTTACTGGGCCCGCTCGAGCAAAAAATAAAATTAAATTAAAAAAAAAAGATCCAGTGGTCCAAAAAGAAAGATCCAGAACACAGTGCCCAGGACAAGTGGGTCTCCTCCTGCGGCTCTGACTGTGCACTGCTCAAAGGGGAAGGCAAGTCCCGCAGACAGAGTATGTCCAAGGTGGTTACTCCTCTCCTGTGCTCCAGCTCCACTCCAAATGGGTGGGACGCCCGTGTCCCCCCTCCCCCCAAACAACAGATGCCAAAACTTTTCAAACCCCCAGAAAGGAAAGAAAAGCAACATTGTTCCTATTGTGATTCATCATCTCTCTTTTAACTTGCCTGCAGCAAGCATGGGCTGGAGCCATACCACAATACCACAGCGCGTAGGGCATTTGCCTTGCACGTGGCCAACCTGGGTTCGAGTCCTCCGTCCCTCTCAGAGAGCCCGGCAAGCTACCAAAAGTATCCTACCTGCACGGCAGAGCCTGGCAAGCTCCCCGTGGCGTATTCGATACGCCAAAAACAGTAACAGCAAATCTCACAATGGAGACGTTACTAATGCCCGCTCAAGCAAATTGATGAACAACGGGAGGACAGTGCTACAGTACAGCAAGGATGTTCCGAGCTTCCGCTTCCCCACTGGTTTAACGCACCCCCACAGCCCGGGGTTGCCCTGACGCTCTGCCACTCTGAACACGAGCCGGTCAATCTACCACTGACTTTCTGCAGCATCAAACCTCGTGAAACGCTAGGGCTTCCTGGCCAGCAGGGCTGCTCAGAGTCTCCAGCCCAGAGAGCCGGAACCAGGTATTGAAAGTGTTTTTCTTAGTCGCCAACAGAGAGGGCGCCGAGCACCCGCCCAGGGCTTGTCCACTTACATAGACGGTGCGGTAAGGGACGCCAAAGAAGAAAACAGGGATGGCCAGCTTGATCTCTGAGGAGCTTCCATCGTCCACTTTGGGGGTTTTGGTATCGTTCTGCCAAAACGGATACATGAGCTCCCTGGGGTGGGCTGTCAGGAGAGATGGTGGTTAGAGAGAGAACAGGTCCCTCTTCCGCCTGGCAAGGGAGTCCCCTCCAAGGCCCCCCGCCCTGCGGCCAGTTCCCTCCAGACTTGCAAACTAAACGCAAACTGGTTTCGAACCCAGTATGGCTGTGTGTGTGAGCGCGGCTGTGTATCACTGCCTGCCTCTGCAGAGGAGAGGGGGCTCGGAGCCACTTCTCCTGTGGAGAAATCACTCAGGCATTGCTTCCGTGCCTCCCCGGGGCCTTGCGGAGTGCCCTGGTCAGAGCTGGCCAGGACACTGGGGACTCTGCCCTGCCTGGCCACGTAGAGCCCCAAAGGGTGGGCCAGGCTCTGGCCAGGCTCTGGGAGGGGTGGAGGCTCGTGGGGGAAGGCCAGCACACGGAGCAGGGCCCTGTGTGGGCACCTCCCTTGGGTCCCAGGAGTGGACTGAGCCTGTTCCTGAGAGGAGGCCCCTCCTGGAGGTTCCGGGCAGGGCAGGACAAGTGAGCCCTGGCACCCATAGGGATGGCCCTGCAAAACGATAAAAAAATAAAAGTAAAAGGTAAATGCTAGTTTTCCAGGGCAGTGACCAGCCCGTTTGGGGTTTCTGGCCATCGTTCCCGAGGGGCCTGCCTGCTGCATTCCGGGTCCTAGTGCCCCGCTGGCACGTGGCACGGAGGCTGGAGAACATCGGGGAACTTCTCCACGGGAAATCCCCGCTTTGGTGTTAGTGGGACCTGTGGGCTGGCCAGCCACTGGTCAGGGCTTGGCCCACTCCTCTGGGGGGTCTGCAGCGAGCCCAGACCACATTCAGAGCAAACAGAAGGCCACCCGGGCAGGAAGCAGCCCAGCCCGGCCTGCTAGGGGTCCAGCAGGAACTGAGCCATCATCTCTCCAGAGAGCTGACGTCCCTAGGAGCAGGGAAAGGAGTCCCATGGCTCGGCCACAAGTACTGTTCTCCACCCCCGGAAGGCACTGGGGAACCAAGCCAAGCCAAACCATAGGCATGGTTGGAACTTGCTGCTCCAAATGGATTCACCATCACGATCATCAGGCAAAGCTGCCCTCTGATCTTCCCAATGCCCGGGGTCCTAGGAGGCGGGCCTTCAAAAGTCACCCTTTCGACACCAAACCTGGCATTTGACACCAGTACTTATTTATTCAACTATTTCTGAGAATGAGGGCATGAGAGTGAATCGCTTTCATTCTTCTGGGGTTTCACACTCGAGTTTGTGGGTTCTGATCATTGAACTTCACCTCATTCTGGGAACATCTTAAGTTAACCCCACTGCCTTCTACATTTGTTCATTCAGACTTCTAAGCAAGTGTCCACAGGGCTAAACAAACAACAAAAACACTTGTTTATCCAATCGAGAGACCATGAACTTGCTCGAATGATCACCAATCGGATCCTGCAGTGGATTTATCCTCTGCAGGGGAACTTCTTGGGAGTGACGCCCCAGTGGGAAGCTCAAAGTTGCACTCAGGTGGAATCATTTTAATGGAAAGCTGAACAGGAGTTTGGGAAACACTGGCCAATTTGTCCAGCGAAGGGTGGGGACAGATTCAATGGCCAGAGCCTGCCCTGCCCTCTCTGCTCCCAAGGCAAGGTAGATCTCGATGATGCTCTTCTTAACTAGTTCATGATTTTGGAAGAACTGAGGTGGGCTGGAGTGATAGCACAGTGGGTAGGGCGTTTGCCTTGCACGCGGCCAACCCGGGTTCAATTTCCAGCATCCAGTATGGTCACCTGAGTACCACCAGGAGTAATTCCTGAATGCAGAGCCAGGAGTAACCCCTGTGCATCCTGGGTGTGATACCCTCTCATAAAAAAAAAAAAAGAACTGAGAACAGAGTTCAATTTCAAGAAAACACAGATGCCTAATATTGTAAAGACTTGCTTCACAATCAACGAAGTTTATGATTTAGTATTATTATACTAGTATTAAATTTAATATAGCAAATGCCTACTGAGTGACAGAAATAATAAGATTGAAATCATGCATTCTTCTGGACCTAGAATTCATTGCTATTATGAAAATATGACTTGTTGACAGCACGAACTCTCAATAGCAATCAGAGTTAATAAAAGGATATCCCTACCCATACCAGCTGTACGTTGGGCCTTTCATGATAAATAAATTGGCACAATAAACCCATCTCCCAGGCTTTTCCGGCACCCCAATGAAACACTTTCTCAGAATGAGGGCACGAGAGTGAGTCGCCTTCACTCTTCTGGGGTTTCACACTTGAGTTTGCGGGTTATAACCATTGAACTTCCCCAATCCTGGGAACATCGTAAGTTAACCCCACCGCTTTCTACTTTTGTTCACTCGGACTTATAAGTGTCCACAGGGCTAAACAAACAACAAAAACACGATGAGAATTTCACACTATAGAGATGCTCTTTCGAGAACGTTTCCTATGGGGCTCTCCTGGACGCTGGGCAGCACCCCACAGAGGAGGAAAAGGAGAGGCTATGGAGGGCAATGAATTGGCCTATTTTGTTTGAAGTTTTAGACTGGAGTCCACCGTAAAGGGCCAGGACATCAATGCCATGATAAGACTCTCTGGGCTCAGAGTCTGTGCCACCAGTTAAATGCCTCTGAGAGAACGGGTTACCAGGCCTAGGTTCTCACTTACCCTATACACTTTGGGGTTTTTTTTGGGGGGGGCTTTTTGGGTGAGTCACACCTAGCTCTACACTCAGGAATTACTCCTGGCGGTGTTCAGGGGACCATATGGGATTGAACCTGGGTCAGCTGCATGCAAGGCAAACACCCTTGCCACTATACTGTCGCTCCGGCCCCCAAACCCTACATACTTTGAAGGAAAGTAACTTGCCTTATCTGGAAGTCTGGCACCATCATTCAGGGCTACCTGGTGTGCACAGACACACCCCAGGGCCCAGAGCAATGGTACAGTGGGGCCTTGCCTCTGGTTGACCTGGGTCCCTTCCCCAGCATCCTGTAGGGTCCCCTGAGTGCCGCCGGGAGGAATTCCTAAATACTGAGCCAGGGGAAACCCCTTAGCACACCACTGGGTGTGGCCTCAAATCCAAACCCAAATCAAACCGAAAAAAAGATGCCCCCAGTTAAGAAAAAGCAGGGATGCAAGTGAACATTATTCCAAGTGAACAAAAATTTGTCCTTGACAACAGAGTTTAATTTACCTCTTTCCTGTTGTATCTGCAGACACGTGTACACCTGCCCTGACAATTAAGCTCCAACAGAAGTTGTCTCTTTATAAATTCAAGAGCATGCTAATCAAGGGCGGCATGGAAGTCTGCGTTACTCACCTTGGTGGCGAACAAGCGCGAAGATGAAAGAGACCCAAATTCTAAGTAATGATGAATAATTCATCCTGGAATTTTAAAGAGAAAAAGAAGAAGAAAAATTCCCCAGCTTGCCAGAGTAAATAGAACACCAGGTGCGCTTGGTGGCAAATCCCCAGGCCCATCCCAACCAGCAGAGAACAGACTCACACCCCAGCAGCTGTAGTTCAGCGTCAGGCTGAACTGCAAACTCCTAAGTGCAAGGCTTTCCGTGAGCGCTGATTCCCCCTCTTCGTGAAATGACGCATGTAATGGATCATTCAAAGGGTCACAGCAACAGTGGCACTGACGCAGGAGAGGCGCTGTGGGTGACCCTCAGACCTGCTGGCTCCAAGGACTGATGCCTGGTTGCCTCCCCAGAAAACCCTCACCCGCCCCGAAGAAGCCAGGCTCTCCTATTCTCACGGAGGCTCCCGTCTGGGACCAATGGACGTTGAGTAAGACCCAGCGTCTCCCTGCAGGTGGGGCGGACAAAGTTTGCCTGCTCTCCGCGATGGGGCCTCTCCGTTGTTCTGGGATACAGACCAGATCCACAGGCAGCACGAACATAACAGGGAACAAGTCTGCTCCTAGCAAAAAGCGTAAGAGCAGAGCCTTGCATCCAAGCAAGCCACACCAAGAGGGGGAATAAAAAAAGAAAAAAAAAAACAAAGCTCCTGCCAGTGAGCTTTATTTTTGTTCAGTAATAATCAATCGGCTGAATGGCATGCAGCTGGACCCTCCGCGAGGCACAAGGAGACTCCGTAAAGCAGGGGCGAGCGCTGAGGTCTGCCCACACCTGCCGTCCAGTCAAGGACGGGCAGAGAGAGGGAGGAAAAACCCTCCTCTTATTCTTTAGCAGGATCACAAGGCTCTGGCCAAAGCTTCATGGAAAAGAAACTCAGCGGGTTTAGTGCGCAACACCTTTCCTAGAAACCTCCGGTTATCAAGTGCAGCCAGCGCCTTCTCAAGCACGTAATAAATTGGAGTCAGGTTTGCAGAAGACGGGGCTCCGGCTTTAGCAGGGATCACGGAGGGCTCTGGCAGGAGACGGCATGCCAAGGTTCAGGCGGGAGGCCTGAGGCAGACAGTTCAGAGAGCAGGAAGCAGGCGGCACTTAAATATTTGTATTTACGGAAAATGTCACTAACCTGTTCTGTAGAGACCTGGAGGACTGAGTCAAGGCACACGAGAGCCAAACCCTGGGCAAGCAGCAGCAAATTAGGTAAAACGGGAATTCATGTCGCTTCTCCCCCACTCACTGCCAGTTATTTCCGATGCCCGAAACGGTGTCCGAATCCTCTCCTCTCTAAACCGAAAATCCAGTTCGTCCCGCACGCTACAGTCAGATACGTGTTGAGTTGCAATCAAGGTTTCCCCTATTGATTAAGGAAAAGTAAATCTAAAGATCGGTTTCAGGATTGCATAGAGTGGTTCTTTTCCTGAAAAACTAGACCTTCCCCCCCCCTTAAAAAAAAAAAAGTAGATTCAGATGGAAATGTCAGGTACTTGGAGCTGAAACCTTGGTGCGTGCTGATCAGAATCACTTTGCACTGAAAAACACAAAAGAAATCCACCCCCCACTTCTACCTTTGTACCTTAAAAAAAAAAAGGCAACTGTCTAATGTTACAGAATTAGCATCAAGCAGCATGGGATCAAGATCCCAACAAAGCAC